AACGATGACGACGATGATGATGATGACGCAGATGACGATGAAGATCGCTGCCGGAGCGGGAAGGACGGCAGTGGAGAGAGCGGCGATGAACTTTCACCCCAGAGCGAGCCACCCGACCAGCGATGCGGACGTGGATGAGCAGCGGCAACGACAGAGGCAGAAACCGCGCCGTGCTGGTGAGCAGACGGGATAAAAGTTCCTGTAGATGTTGCAGAGACCTGGGTAGTGCGCCCAGAAGCAATGGACGAGCTGGACAAGGACAAGGACAAGCTTGACTGCGAGGCCGAGGCAATCGAGGCAGTGGTCGAGGACGAAAGAGCTGACAAAGAGGACGCTGCAGAAGAGGAAGTGACGAGCGACGACGACGACGACGACGACGACAACGACGACGACAACGACGAGGAGGAAGAAGGTAACAACGAGCAATCCACTGTAACTTGTTGGTCGTGCTGCTGCTGCGGTTCGCAAGGGACAGGCAGTGGCTCTGCAGGGATGGCCGTTAACGTCATTGGATTATGTTTGGGGAGAGCGAAAAACCAAAAACCGAAGGGAGACCCCGAATCGAGGAAGGAGGCGGGAAACAGACAAAAAAAAAACAGACAACAACCAAAAACCAATGAAGAAACGAAGAGTGAGCAAGTGAAACAACCAATGAAACAACATCAAAAATAAGCAGATCGGAACATCCAAAAAAGAAATTGCGTTTTGTTTTGGTTGGTTGGCTGGTTGGTTGGCTGGCTGGTTGGGAGGGAAGACAACAAGGACGAAAAGGGTGGATGAAAAGGGTGGCTGAACAAAGTACAAAAAAAGAGAGTAGGTGTTGAGGAGGAAACCCAGACTGCTAAGAAGAAACAAAAAAAAACTGAGAGAGACAGACTACGAAAAAAAAAAAGCGACACATGCAGGGAGGGAGAGGGAGGGAGAGAGCAAGCAGGAGGAGGAACAGCATTCGTCACCGCCCCTTGAAGCGTCCCGAGCCCAGGAAAGGTGGCAGAAGAAAGGCAGAAGAAAAGAAGGGGGGGGGGATACTGTGCAGCCACGTGTCCCCAAGTACACTTCACATCAGTGAGAGAAACGTACTGGAGAACAAAAAAATAAGGGGAAGAAGAAGAAGAAATAAGGGCAAGCTGGATAGAATGGCTTGGTTGTGTGGGGGCGGGAGCTTTGGCGTTTCAAAAAAGAGGCCCCCGCAAGTACGACACTTCTTGCTTCATAGCAACCGTATGAGAGGGTGAAACTAAAAAAGGGGCAAGGAAGAGAAGGGTTGGGGGGGGGGGAGCGAGCGAGAAGAAGGGTTGGGGTTCCAAAATCACTCAAGTCGCTTCCAGTCACTCCCTCTCGCCTCTGCAAGAGCGTGACAAGTGGGTTTGTCAGCCTGGTGAGCGACGAGTGACGGGTCTGTTGTGCATGACGGTTGTGCTCGTGATGATGACCTCGCATAGCTGATCAACCGCAACCGCAGACCCGCCCATTTGCAATGTTGTATGAGCGAGGATTTTGCGCAGAGAGAGAGAGAAAGAGAGAGAAGGAGGGAGAGGAAGGGAGGCCGAGATGAGGGTTGCAAAAGAAGACCGCACAAGCACGACTTGCAAGCCGGAGCAGCACACGCAGTGGGAACAGTGGGAGCATGAGACGCATCCGAAGACAAGAAAATAAAAATAAAAATAAAAATAAAAAAAACAGTTGTATTGCTTTCCATTTGTATTGATTTTTTTTTTTTTTTTTTTTTTGTTGCTGGCGATTATTAGTTTGTATTTTTCCATCGGAGCTTTTGATGTCGCTCGCTGCTATCTCGCTTCGGTGCCTTGCTGCTCGGGTGGCAGAGTCACCGAAAAGTGACACGGACGCGACTTTATCAGACCCTCGAGCACACCAGCGCGCGCTCTTGCGTTTGTGTCGAAAGCAATACGGCACACACACACACACAAAAAAAAAAAAAAAAAAAAAGCACGCTTTTGGATGAGAAAAGGGGAACCCGAGCGCGTTGGGCCCCGCTTCCGCCCCTGGCTTCGGGAGGGCCTGCATGCCTCAGTCTGGCCCTTGCGTTGCGTCGTCGCGTTGTCCCAGCCACAGCCGGAGCCAAGCGCAATCCCCGCCGACGCACAAGGCACTGTTTTTTTTTTTTTTTTTTTAATGCTCTTGTCTCTAGGACGCACCCCCCGGTACTCTTTGCCCGAGCGGGGTGCTGCCTGAGCTGCTTCCTGGAGACCCGGCAGCCCCCGTGGTCGCAGACACAGAGACAATAGGAGCAGCACGCCTCGGCTCAACGGCTGTCGTCGCTGCAGCCAGAAACAAAATCACATTCAAAAACGTTACCTTGCAGAAAAAAAAAATAAAATAAAATAAAATAGTCACCGAAAAAATAAACAATGAAAAAAAAAAAAAACTGAGCCAAAAACCGACGTTTGTTTGTTGCCATCATGCGCGGAGAGGGATCAAGCGTCACACTGTCGCTAGGAGCAGGGGCGAAAAAATCACCGCTGGAGGGGTGGTCTGGAGATGTCGTCTTCAATGCCGCCAATCATAGCCAAAACTCTTTGGCCGATCAAATCCTCATAAAGTTTCACATTGAAAGTTGTCGCAAAAACATCACAAAAACACACTACACACTACATCGCAATATAGCCACGCAACAAAGACACGCACACACAAAAAAAACGAGAAACAAAGCGACTCGAGGACAATGCTAGAACGCGTCCCGCTCAAACCAATTGCCACCCGCGGGCTTGCATCTTTTGGACTCGTTGAGTCAGGTCGCCCAACGGCTTGAAGGCTCGCATGCACCTCGATCGAATGTGTTGGACAATGCCATCGACTGTGGCGCCTGCAGGTTGACCCGGGTACTTCAGCTCGATCTGAGCCGTCTGCTCATCGACTTTGACAACCCTCAGGTTGTTCACGTCAAAATCAATCCGAGGATCCCTTTGAGCAAAGGCGAGCGCATCGACAAGCTCGATTTGGCATTCGCCCTGGCCGTCAATCGTGGGTAAGCGAATGGAGAGAACCACGGGGTTTGAGCTTGCTGTCCTCAGGTCCCCAAGCTTGTTAGCCTGAGCAAATCGAGCAATCAAGTCGCGGCCTGCTTGCAATGTCAGTGTTTGGTCCTTTGGCAAGCCGACATCAAGATCCATTTCGCTATGAACGCCTTGCCCATAGATGAAATCGCGCAGAAACCCGCCGTAGACCCACATCTTCGTGCGGTGCGTAATCCAATGAGCTAGCAACATGAGGGTGCCTGCTTGGCCTTGGCCAAAAGCCTTTTCAATTTCTGCACGCGTGGTCGCCGCGTTCAAAAGTGCTTGTAAACGGCGCGACTCTGCCGAAGTGGCAGCAGGTGATTGGGGCGCCGCCGCTGCCAGGAGAGCCGAGCCGTCACCCATGCCAAGCAGCTCCTTCAGCTGTGGAATAGCGTAGTCTTTCAGGCCCGCCTGAACAATGAGGGACACGGAGCGTGCGACGCGGTCTCCGAGAATCACGGTCGTTTTGCCAAACTGATCGCTTAGCTTCGTCTGCACGGGAACACCGTTGTCGGGAGTGGGGAAGCCGTTTTTCATGAAGTGAGAATGGATGACAGCGTCATTCACATCGGGAATGTCGCATTTGATCAGTTGTGCGACGGCGACTGCCTCCTTGACTTGCTGCACGATTTTCTGCTGCTCGGCTTGAGGACAGGAGACGGACACTGAAATCTTTCGCAAGTCCTTGTCGTCGTGTTTGGTCTTGAACACTGACATTGGGAACTGCTGCTTAAGGACTTGAATGTTGGCCGTGACCGAGTGGGCAACAGCTTTGCAGATGGACTTGAGAACCTTGTCCACATTGTAGCCGTGTGGCAGATCAATGGTAAATAGCTGAACGAACGAGACGCGCTGGACTGTTGCCAGGGACTTCTGGAACTTGACAAAGTCGTTGGGCGTGAATGACGCCTGGGCTGCTTCCAGAAGCATGTTCGAGTCGACGAGCGTCACGCAGTTCACAAAGTCCTGATCCTGAGACCCTCGCGACCGGGTCTGGTAGATGAGCAAGGGCGCACTCGTGCCCTTGGGAACTGTGGTCGACGGATGAACACGTACGTTCGTGGGGTTGGTGCTAATGCCATCCTGGAGATAGTAGCCGTCTTTGAGGGTTGAGCTGATCGCTGCCGCTGCGTGGTTGACAAGCGATCGGCACAGCACTCGCTTGACAATGGTCTGCATGTCTGCATCTTCTGGCGGATAATTGATCGGGATGCGGGCCGATCGCATGTCCTCGTGCAGCCGGATGAGCGTGTCATGAGCAACCATCAAGGTTTTCTCATTCAGCCCTTGCGACCGGCACCAGCGTTCCGATTTGATGGTGTCTCGCCCACCGGCGCTGTGCACGTTTTCAGACCAGGTCGAAAAGATGTGCAGATAGGTGAGATGGTCGCCATGGCCGCCAGCATCGTTAAACCAGTCGGCCTTTTTCTGCAACCCCTCGTCGCTTCGCTCAAACAGTGGATGCTGCTCGACCGCTCGAGTCATGGCAAACACAATGGCCATCAGCCCAGAGCACTCAAACTCTTGGCTAGCGGCCATGACGACACATTTGGCCTGTGCCATTGGAAGCTGCAATCGACGAACAGCGTGACCAAGCGCGGTGATTGTCTTGCCATGGTCCACGGAGCCCTCCTCAATGCAGCCCATCTTGAACAGCTGCTTCTCTGCACTCTGAAGACGTGCAACGGGCATGTCAGGAAGATTGTCGTCCATCGGGTCAATACCGGCGTTGAGCATGCTGAGGTAGAAGGAATCCAGATTTTGCTTGTGGATCTTGGCAACAGTGTACTCTGGCATGGCGTCAAACTCTTCCCTGGTGAACATGCAGTAGCAGCGACCAGGACTAGTGCGGCCAGCACGGCCTCGGCGCTGCATGTGCGAGGCCTTGGAAATCCAGTCGACAGCGGAGGTGGTGCAATCGCGATCCACATCGTACGAGACATCCAGCTCGCGGCCAGTCTCCACGACCGCGGTAATGTTGGAAAGAGTGATGCCGGCTTCTGCAAAGTTGGTCCCGAAGCAAATCATTCTCTTCTCGGCGTTTCGAGGCTTCTTGTCGAAATCAGACACTTCGTCCTTGATCGCATCGCTGACCTTCGCGTGCAACGGAAGAATGACAGCCTGTGGATCGTGCTGCAAAAGTCCCTTCATGTGTTCGACGGCGTCTATGACATCACGGGCGGTCGGCAAAAACACCAGGACGTTTCCAACTTGCTCGGCATTGTACACACGCACAACTTGGTGACACAAGTTGAGCAGGGCACCAGTGGCACGTGGATCCCAGCCAGCATCGGTCATGAACTCGACCGTAACGGGGAAGGTAACACCAGGAACGTCCAATACGGGGCAGACAGACTTTGTCAGCTGCCTCACATTCGACGCAAACTGCTGCACGTCAATCGTGGCACTCATGATGACGAGCTTGAAATCCTTCCGATCCGCGACAGCTTGGCACAACTGGGGCAGCAGCAGATCGGCGTCTGGGTTGCGCTCATGAGCCTCGTCCAAGACGACCGTTCGCCATTTGGAGAAGCGTTTATCCGCACTGCTGATTGCTCGGAAAAAGCCGTACGTCATGAAGCAAATGCGCGTTTCCGGTCCCATTTTGACCGAGTCGCTCACTGCCATGCCAACCTCTTGGCCAACTCGACAGCCGCGTAGTTTGGAGACATACTTGGCCATGCCTGCTGCAATCGACCTGCGGGGCACCAAGACCGCAACCGTGGCGGTCGGGTCTTGCATAAAGTGCAGCTCATCGTACAGCCACTGCGGGGCCTGGACTGTCTTGCCGGTACCCGTGCCACCCTTGAGAATCAACGTTTGGTTTGCTCGAATCGTGTTGATGAACTCTTCCTTGTGGGCGTACATGGGCAATGCAAGCTTGAACTGCTGCAATTCCAACCTGAACAGCCGGGTCAGCTTGCCAGCCAGCTGAGGATCCGCAGCCAATCGCCCCAAAAACCCTGTGCAGCATTTTGCAAAATACTTGAGCATTTCCAGCTTGGCTTTGGCCTGGTGCCATAACTGGATGCGCATTGCTTCTTTGATGTCGCGGTCGGCCTCAAGCTTCCGATGCATTTCCTTTCGTTCGTCATCCAAAGATGCAACAGTCGGGTCATCTCCAAAGTCAATGACATAGTCCACGCGAACAGAGTCGGCGTGAAACAGGATTCGCCATTGGCTCTGGGCAATGTGAACACTTTGGCAAGGCGGACTCATGCCTGCCAGCGATGCAGCAGTGGTGGACGAATCCGCACTTGGTGAAGCGTTGCCCGGCGCAACGGTGCACACACAGACTGAGCCCGTGCCTCGCGCATAACCTGCTGGTGTGCTTGGCTCCTCAGACGAGTAGAAACCCCGCCCGTACGCGGTGCCATTCGCGCTGCCAGCCAAGTCGATGCGCGGCCCAGTTCTTGCGATTGCGTTGGCATTTGCAATGACGCTGGTACCGTGCATAACACGGACTTCTTGAAGGGGGTTGCTCGGAAGAGAGCGGCGATACGCCTGATACCGGCGGTCGCGAGCAGGCACGCTGACCTTCTTAATGCGACGAACAGAACCGGTGGTAAGGCGCGCAACCTCTTGATATTCGGCAGAGTTAGGATCTAGCACCGTCAACTCTGACGGTTTGAGCGTTGAAATGTCAGGTACAGGAGGCAAGGGCCGCTGATGGTCGTCCCGCTCCTGCTGAAACTTTCGCTCAATGTCTCGCAGCCCATCACGCGCCTTGTCAATCTCGCTCTTGAGTGATTCTATGAGGTTTTCGTTGACGCGTGATGATTCAGGAGCCGCGTTGCCAGATGCAGCTCCGGAAACATTGGGGCGCTCGGTTGCGCGAGACGAGGTCGGTGCTGGACCTGCGGAAGCCGCGTGAGAAGCAGCTGATGAGGGGGCAGGCGCAGTTGATGAGGACGACGAGAACGCAGCTGATGAGGACGACGAGAAATTTGACGACGAAGCGCCAACACCAGGAGCAGCCGGTCCAGAGCTGGAAAACTTGTTGCTCTTGTACTTTGGAATCGACAAGCCAAAGGACTGGGAGTCGTTGTCGACAGGTTCGGCGGAGTCATTCGAAGCAGCAGTTCCGATGAGTTTCTGAAATGCGCCCTTGACGACGCCCTTTACAGTGTCAACAATGCCCAAAGAGCTCTTGCCCATCACAGGGTTTGAATCCCTGTCGAGGTCGTCAGCGTCATCATAGTCGTTGAACGCATTGGGATCATGACTGCTAGACTCGTAGTTTGCGACATGGGCCATAGAGAAGCCGCCCGAAGAAGAGGAAGGATCTGGTGCAAACTGCTCGTGGCGATGCTCGGCCGCGGCGTGTGGCGCGGCATGTTGCTGCCTATCAGCCCACTCCTGCAGCGGCTTGACAGCAAGCACAACCCGAAGGAAGGTGCTGATTCTCATTGACGAATGATCATTCGACATTTCGGTGAAGAGCAAGTGAAGAGGCAGCCAATTGAGCCGCGACATTTCCGTGAGCGACGAGGCCGCCATGAAGCTGCGGTTGCGATACCATGTTGCGTGGCGCTTTGGCAAATCGTAGCTCGCTTGGTAAAGGTTGGGAATGCTGTTTGCGTCCACGAGGTAGAGCGCATACTTGCCGTCGGCAATCCAAACAACCGAGGGCTCGCTAGAACTGCGGATTCGGTGCTCGAGAGACTGGATGAGCTGGCGTGGCAACAGCTGGGATGTTTCTTCATGGAACTCGCGGACTGCGTTTCGGATGGGCTCCTCCTTAAAGTCGCGTTTGCCGCCTAGAGGCACCAGCTCGTGAGTTGTACCATCTGTGCCCAGCAAGATTTCAAGTATGCCGTTTGGTGTTCGGCGGTACAGGAAGATTCCAGCCGCCTTGCACATGGCAGCTTCTCTGGGTTCGAGTCGCGCGGCGAGGTAGCTTCGCACTGGCACGGCACCACCACCACCTCGACCGCCCATCGGGTTTGGCGTCGCGTGGGTCTTGGGCTCACGAGCTGCGGCTGATGCACCTGCGGGTTCGTCTCGATCGATTGAAGTGGGCTCCAGGCGTGGCTTGATGGAAAGAGCCCCCTCGCAATTGAACGCCGCGTGTTTCCAGCAGGACAAGTGAGACAGCTCGAACAAAACACAAGTGATAACCCTGAGCGCAGTCGGACGGTTTTGGGCAAATTCGAGATACGCCTGAATCGCACAATTGGCGGCCCGATCAGGGGGGTAGCCGTAAGCGCCGCAAGAAATGGCAGGGATGGCAATGGACATGCATCCCAAATCGTCAGCCAGGTGCAGAGCTCGGAGAATGGCGGATTTCAGCAGCTCGGCCGCACGTGGTTGCATGGATGGGTCGTGCAGATTTGGTCCAACAGCATGAATGACATGACTGGCACCGAGACGAGGGGAGAACGGCCCAAGTGTCAGCACTGCATCGCCAGGCGGGCAGCGCACTCCTTGCTCATTGAGAGGAATGTTGATTTGACAAGAGCGCAGGAGTTCTGGACCAGCAGCTTCGTGAATCACACCATTCAATCCTCCGAGAGCAGTGAGCTGTGGGTTGGCAGCATTAACCACAACATCACCCACCCACTTGGTAATATCGCCACGTTGGATGACTACGCTGACGAGTGGATTGCTGGTCACGGTGAACTGCAACGCGTCTGGCGGGATAACAGGGCTGATTCCCATTGAAGCTGAGACGTGCGCTCCGGTAGCAGGAGAAGCGGCGGCGGGGTGAGCAAACGAGGACGGCGCGGCTGCTGCTGGCAGGGGGGCTGATCGTTCTGGCGGGCGCATGTTCACCTGGCTGCTCCAGGAGCCTGCGTGGCCCGACGGGTCATGATGCAAAGGAGGCAAGTGGGGCGACCAAGCCGAAGCTCTCAGGAACTTGGCCAGCGACCCCCGTCGATCTGTAGTCTTGCTGGCCCGCCGAGTAGCCTGCACCGTGAGGATGAGTGGCATGGTGGGCGAAAGAATCGAAAGGTGCGGGCATCGGCATGTAGGACGACTGGGTCGCAACAGGAGCAGCCGTGCTAGAGGCAATGGGAGTGGCGAACGGATTGTTGGAGGCGACGAGAGTGGCGAACGGATTCTGGGAGGCGTCGGGAGTGGCGAACGGGTTGTGGGAGGCGACGACGGGAGTGGCGAATGGATTGGCCTGAAGCTGGGGGTTGGAGGAAGCCGCAGGCGGAGCGAACGCGTGATGAGGAGCAGGAGCAGCAGAAGGAGCAGGCTGAGGAACCGAGGTCGGCGCAGGAGAAAGTGCAGCAGCAGCAGCAGCAGCAGCAGCAGCAGAAGGAGGAGGGTGGCTCTGAGTCGTCTTCGGAACGGCGCGGGCAGCAATTTGGTGGGTTGGCCGAGACACACGCATTCCGACATCGTCAAACCACAGCTGCGAATTCAACTGCTGGAGAGCGGCCGTAGCATCGGCGTCGGACGGAAACAAGACGGTGCAGACTGCGCTCTCGAGCGAGGCCGAAATGGCAGCAGACACAGCAAATTGGGAACCGAGGCTGTCTCGCATGCAGGCGAGGACGTCGTCCGCCGACTTGCCTGCTGGGACGGGCCTGACGATCAGTGCCGCTGGAGGCTGAGGGACAGAGTGCAGCACGACGCGTGCACCCACATCGCCAATCCACAGCTGGGAGCGGAGTGACGCAAGCGCAGCTCGAGCGTGATCCTGAGAGGGAAATTCGACAATGCACGACGGGCGGTCGAGCGTGGCAGCCAACGCCGTGGCCCCGAGCTCGCCCAGGCTCTCCTTCATGGCTGCAAGAACATCCTCTGCCGAGCACTCGACAGGAACAGGCTTGACGAGCAGCGCGCCGGTCGACAACACGGTCATTTTTCGTGATTGTTGTTGGTTTTTGGTTTTTGGTTTTTGGTTGTTTTTTTCTTGTTTTTTTTTTTTTTTTTTTCTTTTTTCTTTTCGTTGTTGTTTAGCTGCATTCGAATCGACAAACAAACACACAAAAACAGCCAAACGAGTGAGCACAAGACGCAGCGAGATGCGACAACGAACCGAGATAGATAGAGATAGATAGAGATAGAGAGATAGAGAGATACATACACAGTGTCTATGTTGATGTGAGTGATGGAGTGGGCTGGTGTGCGGCACGGGGGAACAGAGACAGCAAAAAGGGTTGAGAATGAAAAAAAAAAAAATGGAGGACTGCTCTGGGGTTTCTGAATCCATTCGACCTCGTTGGGTCTTGTCTCCTTCCCGTTTTCACTGCCCTTTTCCCCCGCCATTCATTCTGCTGCTTGCGTTCTCGATTGCTGGCTTTTTCAATGCTGTTCTTGTCATCGACTTTTCGTGCTTGGCTCTGACGATGATGAAACGCTTTGTTTATGCTGTTTTCCGAGCAGATTTTTTTTTTGTTTGTTTGTTTCCATGGTTTTGGCTGTCTGGCTTGCTTGGTCTGCCACTATCTGCTCAGGGCATCACGGGTCTCTCCCCCTCTTTCCTCCAGACAACGGGGGCAGTCGTGCCAGCAGGACTCACACAGCGGTCGCCCAGTCCAACAGCGGTCGCGCCAAGTCTCGAACAGCAGGCACTCATCGTTTCGTCTTTCGCACGGAACCCATTGCGCAAAGTCAAGCACGCATGCCACGCCAAATGCATATACCAAAGATGATGCACACGAGGCTTGAAACCAGTCACAGGCGAGTGAGAGGGCAAAGAGAAGCGCGCTGAACAGCAGCTGCAAGCTCAATCTTAGCTGCTCCGCAACAATGACGTAGACGTGTGGAGTTTAAACTGTAGCAATTGTGCATTGCGCATAGATACAAGGATAATAAAACACAAGAGCAAATACACGAGCGTAAATTCTTTTGAAAAAAACAACCAAACAATCTCACAGAACAGCCATCCGAGCCTTCATCGCAACTCTCCAAAGCCTGACTTGGAGGGAAGCCCGAACGAATGCGCATCAACATGGTAGCGATCGTTGCTGCCGTTCCCAAACTGCGAATGCGCACCAGCAGGATGCGCTGTGCGGTACTGAGGCAGGACGCTGGACCCGCCAAAGAAGCCTCGTCGCGAGCGCCGAACAATGGCCCGCGCAACCAACACACAGATGCCCAAAGTGGCAAGCACCGTGCCGGTGAACAGCATGGGGTAGACGTACCAGTAGAGCGACATCAGGTGAAGCACGTACTGGACTTGGGTTTTCAGCTTGAGCTTGGATTGACCGCGCACGCGATCGGTGAAGCTGATGGGAATTTCTTGGATGCGCTGAGCATGGCTCTTAATCATCAGCTCGAGGCCAATCTTGAAACCCATTGGGTTGACATTCTGGGCGCCGAGCCACATGCGACGACGCAGGGCAATAAACCCGCTCATTGGGTCACTGACGCTCACCAGTGGTCGTGCAAGCATCGTGGCGCCTGCACTGATCAATCGACGCAGCAGCGGCCAGTCCTGCAAAAAAAATGAAGTCGTTGGCGGCGGCGGGGGGGGGGGACGCAAGTTAGGCACAAATTTTATCGCACTCGTCGCCAAACTCCCGGGAATCCCCATCACGCGTTCGTGTGCAAACCTTAATCGAGCCACCATCGGCATAGCGTGAGCCGATAGTAAAATCGCTGACGCCCTGAATGATCGGCTCGACGAGTTCTGCGAGAGACTCTGGCGGGTGCGAAAGATCGGCGTCCATGACCTGGAATGGAGCAAAATAGTGATTCGAAACGAAAAAAAGGAATGAGTGTATGGCGAACATCAGCCAAGCCGACACCGCTGTCCTGGCACACTGGGAAATAACCAACACGCAACACTGCTGCTGAACGTACAACGAGCACGGGATGTTCGGCCTCTTGAAACCCACGCAGCACCGCCGAACTGAGCCCGCGCTCATGCTCACGCACCACAATTCGCATATTGTATGTTTTAGCAAGAGTTTCGACAGCTTCAACAGAGCCGTCTTGCGAATTGTCGTCGACCACAATCAACTCTGCGTCCAGATTGGATTTGGCGCAAGCGGCAAACACTCGTTCTGCGAGCGGTGGCAAGTTTTCTGCTTCCTTGTACGTTGGTACGATAATCGAGATCTGATGCACGGAGGAGTTGAGTGAGCATTTGCATTGATCATTCGCATAGAGTTGTTGTTGTTATTCCATGCGAAATATTCGGTGCTTTACCCTGCGCTCGGTCGGTTTGTGCATGTCTCGGAAATCGTCCATTCCGCGCGGCGAAGTGAACGACGTGATGACGACAAACAGAATGAGCACCATGATTGCCGCGACCAGCACATAAGCAAGTCCGGTCTGTTCACGGGTCCATCATACGTCGATCAAACCAGATTCCAACAAGCATTGCGCAGCCAGGTGAGTCAACCCGAGTTTCTTTCAATGCCCGTTCGGCTCTTTCAATTGCATTTGGCTTCGTGGTTTGGCTTCACTTTGGGAGAGTGAAACGCGCGCCAGATCGCTTCTCCACAAAGGTAAGAACATGACGTGGCAGCAAACTGAACTGCGAAAACGCGTTCCGTCGTTGCTTCATTCAGTCGTGCAGCGCAATCCAAGCGAGCAATCCAACACCGCCGCCCTCCATCGCACTGCAGCAGCAGCAGCACCGCCACGTTGCAAACCGCTGTGATGTGATGGGGGGCGGTGGGTTGGGCTCGTGGCTCGTGGCTCGTGGCGCGTTGGGGGGAAGGCCGTTTGTGTAGGAAGCAACGCTCGTCGACGCGGCTTCCCACATACACGCACAGCAGGTCAACGGCACTCACAGGCTGGCCGTGCTGCAGTAGAAACTCGCGATATTGCTTCTGCAATCGCTTCTTCAGCCGGAAGGCGAGGCCAGAGAACGCGTCCGACGTGCCGCTGCCAACCGCCGGGCTCGAAGGAGGCGGCGGCATTGAGAAGCACAAAATCTGAGAAATGAAGGACTGAGATGAGAGGGGCGGGGGGAAAACAAATTATTTGACGATGGATTGAGGATTGCAGAAACTGGATTTCATCATTGGTTCCTGTTTCTGAGCTTTGTTGCTGTAGTCTATTCTTTTTTCTTTTTTATTGTTTTTGTTTATTTTGGCGGGAACGTTTCTCAGACTCGGATTTCCACGGCAATAATGGATGGCGAGGTCCACGTCGATCCGACACTCTCGTTCGGCTACTATGCACGGCTGGCTCAGCGGTTGCATGAGGCCGCGGCATTGGCATTGAGCAACGGGCAGCGCGACAAGGCGCGAGTGCTGCTGCTGCGCTTCACGACGCTGTGCCTGGAAGGGCTGCCGAGGCACCCAGAGTACCAGAGTCCAAAGCACCGCGACGACAAGCGCAGATTGCTGGCCTTGTGTCGCAACGCCATCACCGTCCTCGAAAAGTTCAAGAGCGAAGCCCTCCAACAAAGTGAAACCGGAACAAGTGGAGGAGCTGGAACGGGAACGACGACGCTTCAGTCATCATCATCATCATCACCCTCTGCCATGCACGATACAAGCTCATCCGAAGCGAGTTTGCTCACACACTCAACCGGGGCAATCGGAGAGGAGTCGGAAGGGCACGAGACAGACAACGCTTGGCCAGTCGAAGTTGCAGCAGCCGAGTTACCAAGCTCGACCGATTCCCCGAGTCAACAAACACAACCAGAGACACCTCAGGAATCGACAGGGACGCCTGAAACCGAGCATGGAGTGATAGCAAGTCGTCATCAAAGGGGCCCGCCCGGTCGCGTGCGGTTGTTGCGGCGTGACAGCGACTTTGAAATAATTCTCGGAGCAGGCCACGGGAATGGGAGTGGCGAGATTGGCGCAGGCACGTTCGGCAAGGTCTACAAGGTGCGAGACTGCCAGACAGACACCGTTTGTGTCATGAAACGCATTCCTTATTCATCACCGTCCGACGTTCAAGCCATCACTCGAGAAACCATGCTGTTGCGGAAACTCGTCCACCCTAACATTGTGGCGTATCGAACACTGTTTGCGTCCCAGAGAGTACCTGAAAGCATGTGCCTTGTGATGGAGTACTGCAATGGCGGCGATTTGCAAGCTTGGATGGAGCAGTACGTCTGCCGGCCGGACGTCACGCTGCATCCTGCCACCACTCCGACGCTTCCTGAAGCGGTCTTGCTGCATTGGATGGAACAACTGGCGAGAGCCCTTGCATTCGTTCACGCGTCGGGAATCTTGCACCGCGACCTCAAGCCAAGCAACTTTCTCCTCGTGACCCCTGCATCGCCTTTAGAAGACTACTTTACGCAACACTATCCCCACACCCTGCCTTCCTTGAAGCCGTCTGCTGGTGGCCGCCGGGACGATCATCCGCCCTCAGATGATGCTACCTCACCCGAAGCTGCTTATATGCCATCCCACCCCGAGTTTCACTTGCCCCGCGAGTTTCTAAGTTCCGGGTCGCCCTTCCCACCCATCATCAAGCTGGGTGATTTTGGTCTGGGGTACGAGCTCGGCCCATCACGCGAGTTTGCGTCCACTCGAGCTGGAACCGTCATCTATTGGCCACCCGAGATTATGGCTGCTCAAGCCTCCAGCAAGGCGTCTGAGGTCTACTCGTTCGGCGCCATCTTTATCGAGCTCGCCCTTGCCCCTGGCATGGTCGCCACCTCTCTCCTTCTGCCAAAGGATCTAGCCCTGCACTTGGCACGACTCCGTGCATTGTACTCTGAAGCCTTCGCGGACGCTTTGGTCGACATGATCAATTTTGCTCCAGAAGATCGACCCTCCTTTAACGAAACTGTTCTTGCGTTGCAGCTCATCCAGCAGTTGAATCTGAAAGGCGTGTGATCAAGTATTGCAGTTAACTCGGTGTGACGATGACAAGGTCGCTTTTTGATACAAGTGTAGATTAACATGAAAATATAACAATGGTTGGAAATCAGAATGCAGCAAATCAAAACTAGTGTACAAGGATGGAGGAGGAGGAGAAGGAGGAGGAGGAGGAGGAGGAGGAGGAGGAGGAGGAGGAGGAGGAGGAGGAGGAGGAGGAGGAGGAGGAGGATGAGCAGGAGGAGGAGGAGGAGGAGGAGGAGGAGGAGGAGGAGGAGGAGGATTGATGAGGATACCGAGGAAAAAAAAAGAAGAACGAGCTTTCAAAACAAAACGGAAAAAAACTGAGAAAGTTCAAGTACGGTGGAGAGGACAATCAGAACGTTCGGAAACGAAATGGCGCAGAATGTCCACAGAGGCAAATAGTATCAAGTAAAACGCTCAGAAAAGAGTGGTCAGCAGTTTGACTCGGAGGAAGGCTTGCCGCTGATCTCATTGGCAAACTCAACCGGACTGTGCACTTCGATTAAGGGAGTGGCGGCCAAGGGAATACTGAGCAAGGGAGTGACGGAGGGGAGACCCGAGAGACTTCGCGATGAGCGGAACTTTTCACTGTCCGAGCTGGAACTGCCATGGGTCCTTGCGCTCTGTCCCAAGGTCGTGGAACGCGGGCGGTGGCCAGAACTGCTGTGCGGAAGAGAGCTGCCGGCTGCGTTTCCTGGATTGTGATTGCGACGAGACGTCGATTGAGACTCTGGAGAGTGGGTGTCGGGAGCTGAGGACGACGACGATGACGCAGCACGTCCGTGGCGAAGGGGGTTGCCCATTGCGTGATGGCTACTGAGAACGTGGCTGGAGGAATCAGTCGTCAAAACCTCCACCGATCCCGCAGAGCGAATCTCGCTGCTAGCCGACGACCGACTGGCACTTCGCGTGGTGCTAGCGGTCGGCGAATGGCCCAGCCCCACTTTGACCATTCCGCGCCCCGGGGCGACAGAACCAAACGACGGGGTGGCGGCCGCACTGGCGCTGAGAGCACGCTGATGGCTTGAATTCTGGTACAACGCGGCCGCCTGGACCAACTTGCCCGACACAACGACAGGCTCGCTGTCGACAAAGCGCTGAGCGAGAACCTCTGGCGGCAACACGGTGGAAGTAGGCGCAGCAATCCATTCTCGCGAATGGTCGAGTCGAGAACCAGACCCAGAAAGACCGGCCATGACGGCAGCGGACGACGTCAGACCAGACGACGGACCCTGCAGCACCGCCTGCAAGGAATTGTGGCTTCTGTTCTTGATGTGACCGTCGGCCTTTTCAACCCAGATCTCGTTTTGGCTGGGACGAGGGCTGAAGGAGCTGTCCGCCAACGCTTCCGCCGTCGGGGCGGTTGGGCCTGCCGTCGTCACACGCCGGATGACGCCTCGGCTTTCCAACGCTTCGATCGCTTTGCGCAACGCGGCCGAAAAGGTCTCAAACCTCAACGGTTTGGTGCACAAGTCGTCCATGCCGTGCTGACGGCACCTCTCGCGAGTCGGGGCAGTGGCGTCTGCCGTCAGTGCCAGAATGTAGTAGCCAGGCCGGTTGTGCTGCCTTTCGTATCGACGAATATGGGACGCAGCCAGATCGCCGTTCATGATAGGCATCTGGACATCCATCAAAATGATCTGGAATGGACTCGGGAACTCGGACGCCCGTTCCAGCGCCAACTGGCCATTCCCGACACCCTCAAACTTCACGCCGAGGCGCGTCAGGAACGCCTGCACAACCTTCATGTTGATGTTGTTGTCTTCGGCAATCAGCACGCGTACATTCCAGTTCCGGAAGAAGGTTTCGGGTTGGACTGTCGGCTCCGGAATGAGCTCTTGGTGCAGCACCACAGCGCGGAGCTCGTTCATCTTCAGCGGCTTGACCACAACTTGAACAGCTCGCAGCCAGTCATACGACCACGCGGCAATGCCGTTGGCTCCAGGCCGTGCGCCTTTCTGTGTCTGCTTGTATCGAGCAAACTCGTTTTGAATGGAAACAAGCTGCTGTCGGGTTGTGAGGAAGACCCACTGTGTCAGCGTGAACAAGGAGGGATCAAAGGTGGCCATATGGCTGGAGAATTCAAAGTCGCAGATGACGTTGGACAGCGCAGTCTCGGTCGCGGAGGTGGAGGTGGCGGTTGTCGCCGCAGTCACGCCGGCTTCGGCGGGCGAGGCTGGAGTTTGGGCGTTGCGCCGCACAAGCTCAGACAGCAGCTCGTCGGGACGGGTTCGAATAGTGATATCAAAGGCGTCTTGAAGGTAAGCGCAAACGATGCGTTGCACCAAAGGGGATGAAACGACAAGCAGCAAACTTTGGCGACCATCCGGGCGGGTGAGCGATCGACTTCGGTCGACAATGTAGCGGGGAGGCGCACCTTGGCTGCTCGATTCCACCCCGCTTTGTTTGCGCTTGATCCGTCGAGTCGAAGCGCTTGCAGAAGGTTGCGGCTCGGGCTGCTGTGGCGGCTGTGGATGAGGTTTGGGTCGAAGCTCGATGTTTCAAGTGCTGGGCAACTGAAGACTGGCAGCCGAGGCAGATTGACTCACGACGACGCGTCGACGGCAGCAGTGTGACGCAGCAGCGTGCGATGGAGCAGGGGTGCGCAACGAAGTATTGGTGCGCACAGACAGCAGTGATGCTCGAGCAGGTAGCAGCGACGCAGCAGGAATCAATGGTCGCGTCAATGACACGGTTGCTGCTGCGACTGGAAGCAGAGGTGGTGCAAATGTCGTGGTTGGTGGTGCCACAGAAAGCAAGGGAGGCGCAAACGAAGTGGATGGCTGTGCGGATGATGTGAACTCGGGCCGGTCAGGAGATTTTGGAAGGAACTGACGTGAAAACACCTCCATCGATGGTGGCGCAGCTCCAAGCGAGTGTTCCTGCGGTCCTGCGTGGTTCGTGCCCAGAAGTCCATGCTCGCCGCTGTTCATTGCCCCTGTGAGGGTGGTTGCGGCTGGCTTTGGTACAGGGACAACCGCGTCTGGCGCGGCAACAATCAACGGCAGCTCCAAGCCAAGGCCCAGCCCAAACGCAAGATCGGTTGCATTGCTGACGGGCGCGAACGTCGTCGGCAATCCCGATTTGAATGCTGAAGAGCCGACCTGCGGGAGGGGTGATGATGAAACGGCTGTTGCGATGTGGAGTGGAGGAGCAACCGCCAATGGCGGGAGAGGGCGAATCGAAACAGTACTTGCGCCGCTGGATGGCTGACCCCAGAACAGTCGCATCGCTTCGTCGCTGGGATCAGTTGCTTCGGTTGCAAGTGGGGCGGCAGCGAACAGTTGCTCTGGCCAGGCATGCGGCAGCGCAGCCGGCGAGTCTGGATGCTTGGGGATGCGAGGAGGCTCTTCGCGATGATTGGCATCCACAGGTGCGGTACCATTGGACTTTGAGGGCTGTTTGTCTTCCAAAGCAGCAGCAAAGATTGCCCGAGCATCATGCGTTTGTGGTGGCAGTGGTGATGGTTGGTGGTCGGCATCAAACATCATCGAATCCGTGTGGCTGGAGAACGAAGTTGCAGAAGTTGCCTCGTGGCTCGCCGGCACGCCCGTCCTTGACAACGAGGCATCGTCCAACGAACGGCGTGTGGTTGGAAGACGCGCTTGAGAGTCAAAGGCGACCAGTGTTCCTTTGCTGCCAGTCGACGACAGTTCGGACTTTGATGACGCAGCAGACACGGCAAACGCATGAGGATCGTGGGCCGGCATGTCCGTTGCGACGGATGGTGGCAGTGCGTTGGCGCCTGAGAGCAACGCATGGATCATTGGGCTGCTATTCTTGTCCATGCGGTTGTGAAGCGGCACAAACATCGGGTCAAGGTCAACAGTCCCAGGAGCAACAGAGGTAGATTTCACAAGCGGGTCCTTGGCGGTGGGTTGGGGAGCAGAACCGCGGATTCCTGGAGCCGTTGTTGGAGCTGTTGTTGTTGTGGGAGCTGTTGTTGTTGTTGGAGCTGTTGTTGTTGTTGTTGTTGGAACCGGTGGAGGCGGAACTAAAGACTCGTCGCGTGCAATCTCAAACGACATGTCGAGCTGGAAGCGAGTACCTTGTTGATAGACACTGTGAAAGTACAGCTCGCCACCCATGATGCGAGCCAGCTCGGCCGTGATGCAGAGGCCGAGACCGGTGCCGCCGTTCGGACCGTTCGGATTGACTTGGAAGAACGGCGTAAACAGCCTGTGCCACTCTTGATCACGAATGCCAATGCCAGTGTCCTCGCACATGAAGCGGACGCGCACGTATTTTTCGTCGGGAACTTCGTCGGCAGCCTCGAGCGGCGGAAGCAGCTCGGCCGAGAGCAGAACGTGACCCTTCTCGGTGAATTTGCACGCGTTGGACAACAGGTTGTTAAGGATTTGGGTCAGCCGAGGCGGGTCGCCAAGCACACAGCGAGGCAGGGCCGGGTCGATGAAGGACAGCAACTCGACACCCAGCTTGTCTTTGAGGAACTTGGACTGGCTAATGTTGACGCACATGCTCTCAATCAACGGACGCAGCTCCATTGGCTTTTGCTCCAAGCCGATGATGTAATTGTCCATGCGGGACAGATCGAGAATGTTGTTCACCAACGAGTTCATGAGATCCGAGCTAAACTCAATGTCTTTCAGGACCCCGCGCTGCTCCTCGTTCAGTTGCGTTTGAGCCAACACATCAACAAGCCCAATCACACCGTTGAGCGGCGTCCGCAGCTCGTGTGTCATGTGGCTCATGAACTGGCTTGTGCTGTGCTTGGACTGGACCAACGTCGCATTTGTTCGCTCGAGCTCGAGGTCGTGCTGCTTTTGCGACGTAATGTTGGTCAGAACAATGCAAATGTCGTCGGGGCTGCTTGGGTCAGTGTCGACTTCCAGTTGCAGCCACACTGGGCGTGTGAGCACCTGGGATGCGACGTTGGGCTTGAGTGGCACGGAATGGACTTGCGAGGATGGCGCAGACGATTCGCTGGCCGTCGGGAGCGTGTTGATGCTGTGGGTCGACGAGGATGCCAGATTGTGCTCGTCATTTGTCGGGTCAACTTGTACGACAACCTCCCCGGAGGAGCTCGAGTGTTTGGGCTGACTGGTGTCGTGCCCAGAGCCTGCGTCGCTTTGGAGCTCATTGTCGGGATTTTCAGCACCGCCATTATCGGCTGCGCTGGCGAGATCTGCCGCCCAAGTGTCACGACTGATGCTGGTTGCAATCTCAATTTTGCCAGAGTGTAGCTCTCCGCATTGAATGCGCTCCAATAAATCCTTGACAATTGGCCACTGCATCAGGTGTTGGATGAATCGCGAGGCCTCCTCCTTGGAGCGCACACCGAAGGTGGCGTAAAAGAACTCGGTGCAGTACTTGACCTCCATGTCCCGCATTGCCAACACCACCATGGAGGTGGGAGCGCGGCTTCTGAATTGGATGCTCTGGAGAAGCTCGTTGAACGCTGCTCGCAGCATCGTGGTCTCGTAGAATCGACTGAACAAGCCCCAGATGCCGGGCGGCGTTTGGAGCGGAGAAATGTCTGCCACAGAGTCTTGCGCACGAGCCAGCGTGGAAACTTGCTCAACCAGCCGCTTTAGTGGAATGGTGATGATTGTCGCGACCAGACTGCCGAGCAGAGCAGTACACACGACCACCGAGACAGTAAAGATGATGAGCTCCGATGACTCGATCGGCATGGACGGCTCGGGTGCGGCGTACAGGATGGCCCACTGCAGCCCAGGTCGGTCAAACTTCTCCAAGACGAGACGCAACGACGCGTCGCTCGTGGGCACAACGTACGTATTGTTCACGCAACTCGAGCAGCTTGAGACGCCCGAGGTGTTGTACCATCGCGCGAGGGCGAGTATCTGAGGTGGGAGCTGCGACTGTGTCTGAATGCTGTCGTATGAATGTTTGCTTCCGTCTGACATGACACTTGCGGCGGCCATGACCTCGTGAGTCGCGCGATCAATGATCAGCGCATACCCTGAACCCAAGTTCGCATCTGCCAGCTCAAGCAGCATGTCGCTAAACGTCCTCATCGTGATGCTGAGCGCAACGGCAGAAAGATTATAGGCGGGCCCTTGCGCCCTGCGCGGGTGCACAAGCACGGACAGCATTGTCGTGCCGAACGTGACTGATCGGCGGGGCGGGGCCCACTGCAATTCCTGTGTAGAGTTGGAAAGGAATGCTTCGAAGAACTCGCCCAGAGCCTCTGCGGTCGGAGCATAGATGGGCGACGTGCCGTTGATTGGTTGGAGCGTTGTTCGGTTCAGGCTGGTCAAGGTCAAAAGGCCGTTGATGTCGGACGCGTTGCCGTCGATGCGCAAGAGTTGGTCCTGAGTCAGAGGTCCCATTTGCATAATTGGCAGCAAGCGAGCGTCGTGAATGCCAAGAACCTGGCCGCTGGTGAATGACAGCCCCGCAGAGCTTGGAGACGGCGGCAGCGGGAGTTGGTTGTACAGCAGCGCCACCATCGTCCCCACCAGAGTCAGCTCTGTATGGTAAAGGGCAATCAGGCGCGTGTTTTGTCCGAGAACAGCGGCGCTCGATTCCATGGAATTCAAGCTTGCTGTGAACATTCGCCGGATCATGATCTGCGTTTGCAGCAGCGACGAGATTTCGTTCTGCTCGACAATTTTTTGCGCGTACTGCTGGCCACTTGCCCAGCCCAATGCACCGACGATGATTACCAGAAGAATGAGCATGCTGGCTATCACAAACCCGAGCGACTTGAAAAATGTGAATCTCTGAAAAAAAAAAAAAAAAAAAAAAAAACAGCAACCAAATGAGCAAAACGATCAACCGCAGCAAAAGACAAAACCGGCATTTACACATTGGACGTACCGAGTCCTGGACAGGCATTGAAGACTCGGCGGCAGATTTTCTGAAGGCGAAATGGTCGAAATCGAGCGGATTGGCGACGGGACCGAAGGCAGAGCCAGTTCGCCATTTTGCCTTGTCGCCGCTGCGCGAGCTGCCGCTGGACGAGCTGTACTTGGAGTTGCGAAGCCGGGTGGAAAACTTTGGTGGGGCCGCGGTCGCGACTGGCAGGGCATACGGATCAATCTCGCTGCCTGCTCCTGCAGGCAAGGACGTCCGGTAGTGCACGGGCTGAAACGCCAAATCCGATCGGATGGACGACGTTATTGATCCCGCAGCTGCGCGATGCTGAAGCGTCCGGTCGCTTGGGTTGGTGGAAGACATGTTTGACGAGGCAATACTGCTCAGAGTCTGATTGGAGGTGGATCCGCGGATCATTGGGGCGTTGCCTGCCACAACTACTGGCGTGGAAATCGAAACAGATGATGATGCAGCTATTCCTGCTGCCGCTGTTGCTCGGCCAATCTCGGACGATGCCGCACTACTGGCGAGCGTGTTGACGCTGCCCATTTCAATGACGGATGCAAGGCCCGGCTGCATGTCGCCAATCCTGACGGTATTGCTGCGGTTTTCAGCAGAAGTTAAGATGCGGTCAATGCTAAAAATGCTGCCGCTCTGGCTCAGCACGGCACTACCAGCGCTCGTCAAGTTGCTCTCGGAGCTGCTGCCCCCGCTCCCTATGCTCTCGACGGACACTATCGACAGGTCTCGAGACGCGGACGACAGGGGGCCGCGGTCGCTCGCGTCGCTGGTGACAGACCCTGGGCGAGGCGGAGTTCGGCCGCACGAGGCGCCCGCTGCCGCTGCCGCTGCTGCTGACGGCGACTCTGCTTCCGGGTGTCGTGGAGTGGACAGGAATGCATGAGTCCCATTGCCATGCGCAGTGAAGGCACCTGCAGCGAGCGAGGAAGCAGACGACGACGAGGAAGAAGCATTGGGATTCGCAGCAGCTGCTGTTGTTGTTGCTGCAGCTGGCCGAAGCCAGTCGTCGAGCAGAGCGTTCGTCGCGGTGGACGGCACAACGCTCTCTATCCGTTGCAGGGAAGCGACGCTCGACGACGTCGTGGACGACAGGGACAGGCGTGATTGGTAGCTGCCAGAGGCGCTGCTCGTGCTAGACTTTGACGACGGCGCGGGAATCGGAATTGGGCTGCTCAACATTGAGTTTGAGGACAGCGGCTGCATCTCGACGCTCCCTCCTGGTGTGGCTGCTCCCAACGAGGCAGAATTTAACAACGACAAGGAGATGGCTGGAAGTGCCGGGTCCGGGCCGAGCAGGGCTTGGACTGCCGCGGCATGGGATGGCAATGTGGCGCTCGTGCGGGACTCGACCGCACGCGCGAGTGAAGCTCCCTCGGCTCCACTCCCTCCACGGTCGCCGCTGCTGCTTCCACCGCTGTGCCGCCGCCGCTGAGGGTGTGTTGTCATGTTCTCTTCGCTCTGCTCGGCGCTGACTGCGGCAGTCTCAGCCCCCGGGACAGGAGTGATGTGTTGCATTCAGGCTGAAAAAAAGAAATAAATTAAAAAAAATAAAACACGAACAAGAGGTGAGGTGTGATTCGCCGTCGTCCTTCAATGTTGCAACCCCGAACGGCCACACGCACACACACTTCTGTGTGTGTCTCAATAGAGAGCAGCCACCACTGACGAGGTTGAGAGGGCGAAAGAGAAAGAGAAGGAGAGAAAACGGCAAACCTTTCAAAAAAAAAAAAACGATTTAAAAAATAAGTGAAAAACAAGAACTGAAAAGAAACAAATAAAAAATGGGCCGAAGTTGTCTAAACAACCATGAATCAGGGCGTCCAAAGAGAAGAAACGGGAACCAGTCATCTAGAATGTCAGCTGACGGCATCCAGACTCACAATGAACACATGCCACGGGCAGGGACAGGGGGTCGGAGGGGAGGCAAGCAGGGCCCGACCCCCAGATCAAAACAACGTCGTGAGCAAAACAAAGTCTGCAATCGTTTCTCGGCGAAGTAATCGCGGTTTCCAACGTGGCGCACTCTACCAGAGTTTGGTTGTTCAACCAAGCATTCAGTTGCAATGAACCACGGAGATAGGATGGCAAAAGTGGGGGAGAAGAGCCGCTTTAATAAAAAAAAATATATAGTAAAAAAACGCAATCACAAACCAAAAACCCAATAAAAAATTACGACAGCTCAAACCCTGCACCTGCATTGATGGCATAGCGCAGCTTCTCTTTGAGGGTCTTCTTCTTCTTGTAGTTGGGCAGCTTGAGCAGATTGAAACAAGTCGAGGCGGTTGGAAGACGATTGGTGTCGCGGCCGCCGGAAAAGAGCCCACGCAATGTCCCAGTAATGGACTCGTCGATAATGACATGCTCATCCTCCTGGTCTTCGACGCACCGAACTGAGAAGGTGGGATGCAGATGGGCGAATCCGAGAATGGGCGGCTGTGACACAGACAACATCAGTTGATGCATTGAAGCGCTGCCCCCATCAGGTGATTCGCTACTCCCGCCTCAAAGCCCACTCATCACGATAGGCATGGGCAGATCGACTCTACCTTCGAGCAACTAGTCACAAACTTGAGGAACAGACAACGCTCCTTGGTATCCAACTCGGCCACGCATTCCCACAGCCACTGCACAGTTCGATGCGAGTCGTGATAGCCTCCATAGTAGGTGGTATGGCGTCGAAGATCGCTCACGTCTGCCAGAAGATGGAGAGTGAGTTTTGGTTGTACGACACCCCAAGACAGTTTCATCAATGAGGACAACATCTCGGGAAAAAAAAAAGCAAAAAACACCTTCGTACCAAAGTCTACACTGTCGCCAGAAATAAGCTTTTGAAGCTCGGAAGATGAAAAAATCCGAAGCGACGAGTCGGGAATGACCGTTCTAAACCCATGAATGAATGCTTGCGACTGCACGCGGAGCTGCGTGTTCATGCGGAAGTCGGCCATAAGGTGAACATAGAGGATGCGATTGGCGGTCGTGACAGAGACAGCTCTTCCACCAGGCTTGAGATCGTTGGTCACGACGGTGCCAAAGAGATCCTCGTCGACTGAAAACGTCAGGCCGAGGTCTTCGACGTCTCCGTCATAGCGCTTGATGAATGCAAGGTTTTTGTACAGATCGGGATCCAAGGAGCTCAGTTCATCAAAGCCGTTGTGCCGACCGAGCAGCTTGGACAGGAAGAAATGAGCGAACGGCACTTCGACGACAATGCCCTCGTACAAGGCCTTGCCTAGCATTCGCCCGACAAACTCAAACAACTTCACATGGTCCTCTTGGAGCCGCGAGGTGAGACTCGGGTAGAGCAGATTGGACGAGGTTGTGCGAAACAGCCCAAGGTTGGGGTCGAACGCCTGCTTGATGGTTTCCTCCAAAAACTCTTTGAAAACACCGTCCTGGTCAATGCCCGCCTCGTCGAGCCCTTGCGCGTTCGTGAACTTGACACGAATGACACCGCGCATGGTGTCGCCATTGGTATTGCACAGTTGTCGAAAGCCGTCATCGAGCACGGCATTGCGTCGCACGCGTACGAGCATGCTGGGTCGTGCGTCGGCATCGTCGCGATCGCCCTTCGTCGCATCGATCTGCTTGCGGAACAAGTCGACTCGCCTGCGGAATGGGATGCAGTGGGGAATATACCGCAGCAACGCACGAGAGCGAGAGCCTTTGCCACGCCAGTCCGAGTCAAACGCCGATGACTTGAGCTCGGGAATGAGCCAGTGGTCGCCAGACGTGAACGGGCGGCGTGCGTCGCGCTCATACAGCAGTGTCAGTAAGCGGTGGCTCGAACGAAGCAGCCGTGCTTGTTGAGTCAGATCAGCCAAGGCAGGTGCGGGCACGCTCGATGGCGAGGAGGAGGAGGAGGAGGAGGAGGATGAAGTTGAAGATGAGGCGCGCTGGTTCCCAGACGTCGGTGTCTGAGCGTCCGCAGCTCCCGCACCGGTAGTGTCAGCATCGATGGCGGCTAGCAACGCTTCAAGTCGCGGAAGCGGTGATTGCCAGATCATCGTAAAAAGGAATTGGTTGAGAAACTTGGACAAGTTTGCCAGGTCGGTCATGGAGAACGGCTTTTGCATGTTGTAGATTTCTTCATCATCCAAGACTCTGTGGAAGTGGAAGCGGTGTCGCGGGGGTGGGGCAAGTGGTAAGGGGGCAGGCAAACAAACAATGCAAAGCGAAAAAAAGTGAGCCTTGAGGGAAAGGTCGACACATCGACACCAAAAATCCCAACTTTTTGGCCTCGTCTCAAAACGTACAGGAACAAGTGACTGCATGCGTCGCAAAAGACAACCAGGATGGAGATGAAGGGCTCCTTTTCTGGCACGACAGCCGAGTCCAGAAACACTTTGAGATTGCCTGTTGGTCCAACCGTGCTCAAAAACCTCCACAAACGTGGCAGCAAGTCGGATGCGTACGACAGGGCGTTCAACACTTCCGCCTTGAGCTTGACAAGGGTTCCAGCAAGCGTCTCGTAAAGCTGGCAAGCATCTCGAACGCGCATGCAAAGTAGCGAGTCAGCCGTGTTGGCGATCGAGCTGGATGAGCCACCGTGCGCGATCGCGGATAACTTGGATCCGAGCGACTGCTTTTTGATCGTCCCGCCAGGGGCAGTGGGCGTGCCTTCGGAAACGATGGAGGAGGAGGAAGAGGAGGAAGAGGAGGGAGAAGGACTGTCGAACGCAGGTTTGAACAAGTCGGCAAAAATGGCGCGGAGAACGTCCCGCTTCCACAAGTTTTGCAGCTGCAGCGTGATTTGCGGAAATGCCTCCGACAGTCTGTGATGCAAGGGGGGGGATGTGAGAGCAACCATGTGGTTAAAGTGAGTGCAACCAGGTGGGTAAAGATGACTTGGCCACGCTTGGCGAGGGTCACTCGAATGCGGGACTTACGTGGCATCAGTGACGCCAGAAAACCAGCCAAAAAGAGGATGGAAGTTGGCATGACTCGTTTGCTTCTTTCGGACGTAGCTCTTGTCGTGCACAAGCAACTGGTGCAACACCTCGACAAAGCGGTCGGTCAAGGCCCTTGCAGGTGCGGATTTTGCAGAGCCGCTCGGGCTGGCCGGTGCAGCAGGCGTGTCGACCACCAATGCTCGAGCATTGGCCAGATGCATGCCAAAGAGCGAAACCAAATTGGCAATCAGGCACAAGGTGTAATTGCCTTCGAGCGTGTAAAAAATAATTTTGAGTGTTTGGCTATCTTCCAGCGCGTTGATCACATGTTGCAGAAACTCGAGTTTCTCAAACAGGGCGGGTCCTTCTGCTCGATAACAAGCGATCACATCAAATTCCCCCAGAACAATTTAAACCCAAAAAGCCAAACAAGAGTTTTGCTTAGCTGCGTTCCGATGCGCACGACACGGGCCACAACGGGGTATTACCTGGCCAAACGGCCGCGAGACGCGGAAAGAGTGCGGGAATGGACAAAACTTCCAGAACAAACGATAGAACGAGCTCCCTCGAAAACCGCGAGGCAATGATGGGACGAATGAACAGGGTCATGGCAGCCGATATCACGAGCGCTGCGCTGGGAATGTGTGGATTGCGCTTGGGCGAAGAGGCCGCTTGCAGGAAGGACGACAGGAAGGCCACCGCAGTCGTGCGGATGACGGGAATGGTCTCGCACGAAAAGTTGCTTGACGAAAACGCCACGTCAAGGGTGAGTTTCGCCGACGCAGTCTGGGGCTGAGGCTGGTTTAAATGCTGGAGAAAAGTGCTGGAAATTTTGGCAAGCGACTGCTTGAGGGGCTCGGGGCTTTGTTGCGACAGTTTCCAAGTCGACGCATCCGTGAAGGTCGCTAGCATCCGCAGTGAGGTGAGAGGAAGACCCGCGGCAGTATTCGATGACAGCGGAGGCTGCGGTGGAGGACCAGTGCTGCTTGGAGAGGACGCGGGCGGCAGAGTAGACAAAGCTGCAGCCGCCACGCGCGTGGCATTAAAGTAGGAGGGAAGGGAGGATGGCAGTAATCCGGTCGGCGTTGGCGTCGATGGTGCTTTCGGAATAGCCGGACTCATGGGGTGAGTGGGAGGGACGACGGCGGATGGAGCGGGCGGAGCGTCAGCCTCGGTTGCAATCAGACCGCTGGCCGCCAGTTGCAGAGAGGCCTGGTGTACGTGGTACACGCACAGCACGAGAAGTCGCTTCATTTGGCGAATCCACACAACAGTCAGGTCACGTTGAAGCGCAAGCGCCGCGAACGAGGGCAGATTGTTTGGTGCGTCCATCGAAGCCAGTATGAGCTTGCATAGCGCCACCAGGCGTGGGTAATCGTGCTTTGGGTGGTAGATGAAGAGCAGGCGAGCGACCATCGCGTGCAAAGTGGCCGCGATTGGAATGGCGACCAGTGTCGCAACGTTCGGGTTGTTTGTGGCAGAATCTGCGTGCGACTGCACGGCCAATGCTTGCTGCAACACGGCCAGTTGCAAGTCGATGGTGAGCCTTTCTTTCTGGGCCAGGTTTCGCTTCACCAAAAACATTCGCGTCCATTTCTGAGCAAATCCGACAACTTTTGGTGAGTTTTTGTGTTCAGACTTGTGCGTGTGTGGAGCGGTGGATGATTTCACGAGCAATCCAAATCACAGTCATACGACATTCTAGAGTGCTTGAATTCGCAGCACCCCTGCGTCCAAACGCGCAAGCTCGTTCTTACTTGGATGACGAGTGCGGAACCAATCTGCATGTCCACGCTCGGCTGAACGTATTTCTTGGTCGTCGTGCTCGTAGTCGGTACATCGGGACGCGGCGTATCCGCAACACTTGCAGCAGAAGAGCGCATCGACCATGTGGCTTGGGCTGTGGTGGCTTGGGGCGTCAGGCTCGATGTCGTCGTCGGCGTCGGAGTTGTGAGACTTGGTGACCGCGACCCTGCCGCTGCCAGCGGTGATGCGGACTGGGTTGCAGCTGTCGGTGTCGATGTCGCTGGCGTTACCGCTGCAGTATCAGACGCAGTCGCACTCGCAGCCGACCGCTGCTGGGCTCTGGCTTGGCGCTCTTGGCGCTGCCGCTCGACAAAGTCGTCTTTGGCCGTCGCTGTCTTTGGCTTGAGCTGGAACATGTTCCGCACTTTACTCACCCACCTGTGTTACGAGCTCAATTGAACAAGGAAAAAAAAAAGTGGGAGTGAAAGAAGAATCTCAGAAAATTGGTCCGAAAAGCTGACAAATTTGGAACGCTCAGTTTTTTGTTTTTGTTTTGCCTTCACAAAGTAAAAAACGACCCGTTGGATTTGCGATTGGACAGCCTGAGGAGCGAGCGCCAATGTAGAATGCGTGTGATTGCTGGAGCGTCACTGAGAATGGAGCAAGGGAGCGGAGGCGGGGGTGGAAAGGTGAAAACGGTGCAAGCTGACCAATTCTGAGTACAGGGATCTGGTCACTGAAGCCCCCGCTGCTGTTGGGCTGGAATCCAAGAATGAGCAATGATGCTAGACCACCCAGCGACCTGCCGGCTGCAGACGCAGAGCTGGCCGAGGCAGTCGAGCAACGTAATCTCGAACGCGTGCAAAGTGCAATTCGGGCAGGCGCCAACGTCAACCGAGCAATCCGCGACCAAACAACCAATCCCGAGGTCACATGCTCGCTCTTGCACATTGCATGCAGGAGAGATTTCGCAGATATTGCTCGCGAGCTCATACAAGCGGGTGCTGATGCATCGAGTCGGGTCGTGTCTGGACCAACCGAGGGCGAAACGCCGCTGATTGCTGCCTGCAGGAGCGGGCAGCGAATGGCAGTCCAGGAGCTCATCCGTGCGGGCGTGGATGTGAATTACAGCATGCGCTTGAACGGAACTGCGCTCGCAAACGCTGCCGCCATGGGCCATGCGGCAATTGTGGACGACCTGCTGCGAGCAGGCGCCAATCCCGCCGACCCTGCCAATGCCAAAATGTGCGAATGGGTCTTTCAAAACGACCAGCTGGAGATTGGAATGACATTGGCCAACGCGGGAGCACCCTACAATGCCGAAAAGGCGCTGTGCCTCGCCGCCGACGCCAACAAGTTCGAAATCGTGCACGACCTGCTTCAACGAGGCACAAACCCGAATGTCAAGAATCGCTACGGGCGAACCATTCTTCAGGAGCTTTGCGGCGGCCCTTGTGATGCCGGCTACATTGACGTCGTGGTTGCGCTCGTTCGGGCGGGAGCTGAAGATGTCGACGACAAAGCTGTTGATTTTACTGCTCAGGCGGGCCGTCTGGACGTTCTCAAGGAGCTGATGGAACGTAAAGCAAGTAAACAACGCTATCTTATAGCCTATGTGAGCGCTGCCGCAGCAGGACAGGTCCATGTGATTCGGTGGCTTCTCAGCAAGAACAGGAATCCCGGGGCTCTTCTCCGCGCACTCTACATGGCCGCGTTTGCCGACAAGCTCGAGGTGGTGCGAGAGATTCTAAGCGTCAGCGGCAATGTCGAATCCCCTTGACTGAGCCCTTGCAGACGGCCGTGCACAATCTGTCGTTCCCAATCGTGGAATTACTTCTTCAGCACGGGGCCAATCCCAATGCAACCATGTCAACCTCTACGATGACGCTGCTGCACTATGCATGTATGAGAGGCCAGTCAACTGTAGTGCGAGCGTTGCTTGCTGCGGGTGCGGCTCCTGACGTTTGTGTCCTCGTTGATCCCCGTCTTGCCTTGGATCTATCAGACGATGCCTGATATCAACCTCCTCCTCCTCCTCCACCACCTCCTTTGTTTGTGTACTACTTTTTATCCATCTTGCGGTGATGTATTGAAAATTGTCACAACCATCTCAAATACTTGCAAGTTGATGATCATGATCATTTGTCTGAGCGGTGGGCCTCAAAATTTCCCCTTTCAGCCCTATCATTTCAAGCATAGGCAGCACTGATCATGAGCATGGCACTCGCGTACGCAGCGCCAAAGAAGGCGATGGAGCGGAGCGCAGAGGCGGGATTGGTCGAGATCAGGAGGTACAGCGGGACGTACGCCACACGGAAGAGGACGTGCATGGCGACGTAGTAGTTGATGGTTGCAGTCGGCACGTGCGCAACCTTGGCCGCAATGACGCCCGCAGCAAAGAAGGCAAAGTTCTCGAGCAGGTTGTAGTGGCAGGACTGAGCGCGGCGCAGAATGGCAGCCTTCTCGGTCTGGAGCACCGGGTCGGCCACGTTCAGCTGAGCGCGCGTGTTTCAAGCAGCGGCGGATTTTTGTGTTTTTGGTTGGTGATGAATGAGAGGGAGACACACAGCGTCGGTTCCAAGGGGGTCGGTCGGTCGGTCGGTCGGTGATCAGTGATCGGGGTGAGTGATTCAAATTGCTCTCGTTCAGTCCCCCCCCCCGTCAAACTCACCGCGTTGCGAGGGTCGGCGTTGTTCGGAGTGCGCTTGGTGATGGCCTTGTACAGGATTGCCTTGATCGTGTGCGGCACGTAGCACAGCACCATCATGCCCAGCAGCGATCCGTAAGCAAAGTCCATTCCCTCAGGTTGAAAATAAGTACGACTGGCAACCATTGGCCCGTCGGATGATGGCAATGGAAAAATCTCGTGTAGCAGTAGTTGGGTTTCAAGCGAGAGGTTTACAGAGGAGAGATCGAAGAGAGAGAGAGAGAGACGAGCATTGGACAGGAAATTCAGATTTTTTGTATGGAGTTCTCTATTGTACGAATTTGCTCAGTTCAGTGTTCATTTCTTTATTCTTCTTCTTTTATTCTTTCTTTTTGGTCTTTCAGTATGCCTTCGTACTCTGCCATTGCTGGCACCGACTCTGAGGCGCTCCAGGATCACAAGCCAGCGTACAGTGGTAAAACAGGCTCTTCTTGTTCCCGTTGCTGGCTGTTGTCCCAGTGTCGCTGCTTCGATTCGTCTGCTTTTTTTTTATGCTCACCCGAGTTCGAGTACCGAGAATGCATCGCGAGGAAGGGGGAGTGTGGCTGTTGCTGTGGCTGAGTGACACACAAAACGAAGAGGGATTCTCCGAAGCGAAAACAGCCTCACTGTGACATGAACCTCGTCTCTCTGTTTGGTAGGCTTCTCCCGCCAGCCCATCCACCGCCGCTTCAGCCGCAAGTGCTGGATCGGCACTGCAGTCCTGCTCGCCATCGCCGTCGCCATCGCCATCGGCGTCAGCGTCTCCAAGAGCGACGACAGCGGCAACTCTCCATCGCGTAAGTCTCCGTCCTCAGTTTCGTTTTCCCATCCCGTTGTTCTTCCACCTCCGCACATCCGTCTACTTGTTCGATGGATGCTCTTGACAAATGTTTCCCCCCGTCAAATCACTCGCTCTCGTGCTGCTCGTTCCCAATTGATTTTTGGCTTTTTGGGGTCGCTCTTCAGCGAGTGAGTGACACACGCGAGAGAATGAAAAAATCGGAGAATGGAAATTTGGAAAAAAAAAAAAAAAAAAAAAAAAAAAAAAGCACGAGTTACTGATTTTGGATTGATTGGCAATATTGGAGTTTTTGTCGACCTTTTGCTTGAATTGCTGCCGAGAGAGTGCCGGGACGATGCATCAAGCAACGACAGCTTCATCAGAGATTGAAAGTGAGAGGAGAAGATCGAAGCCGGCGGGGGTTGGGGGAGGGGGAGAAGTGCTTGAATGAGAAATCGAGAAAGAAGTCACATGGATGGCACAGAGGAACATTGTTTTGGATTGGCGCGGAATGATGATGCTGATGCTGATGGTGACGATGGAACACGGCTTGTATCTGCGTCAGATGTGATGCGATGTGATGTTGTTGTGATGTTGTTGTGCGTGGATGGCAAGTGGAGAAGCATGATGAGCTGGTGAGTGAGTGCAAAAACATGAACAAAATTATCCAAGCGAACAAAAAAAGCGACATGTGACGACGTGACAAACAGCAAAACATCATCATCATGTTGGGACACGACATTCATCTATGATGACCCAAAGTACAAATGCAAGTGCACTCATCAGTAACCCCCCCCCCCTTGCTCCCTTCTCATCATTCATGCAGAACCGGCCATCTGGCAAAACATTCGCCTCCCTGATTCCGTCGTCCCTTCGGTAAGAAAGAAGAACACCAAATATCCGTGCATGTTAGCATTCGTTCATGTCTCGACAATCCACGCTGACCAACCGTTGTCCAAAAACGTGTCAAAACAGGCCTATGATCTCTTCCTGCACCCCAACATTTCCACGTTCGACTACACTGGCCGCGTCAAGGTGTCCGTCAGCGTGCTCAAATCCACAAAATTCATCCTCATTCACTCGGTCGGCCACAACTTTACTGACATTGACATTACCGCCGATGCAACGGGCGACGCTGTTCCAATCCGCAGGTAAATTGTTGAAACGGGGGGGGGGGGGAAGCTGTTGTGCCTGCTTGCCTGCTTGCTCACTTGTTGTTTCGAATTGCATCCATCCTCGCCTCAACAGCTACTTTACCTACGCAGAAAACGAATTCCTCGTCATTGAGCTCAAAAACTCGGCCCCAGTGGCCAACTACACGCTCGACATTTCGTTCGTTTCCGTCATCCGCTCCGACCTGACTGGCTTTTACCGCTCGTCGTACCTGACCTCGACTGGCGAGCGCCGCTGGATTGCCACGACCCAGTTTGAGCCCGTGGATGCGCGCCGTGCCTTCCCTTGCTTTGACGAGCCGGCCATGAAGGCCACCTTCAAGCTCACCATGGTCAAGGACCACGCCATGACTGCGCTCGGCAACATGCCCATTGCCTCCACGACTCCCTCGCCAACCAACCCCAGCTGGGACGTGGTCGAGTTTGAGAACAGCGTGCGTATGAGCACCTACCTGGTCGCCTTTGTGGTGTGCGACTTTGTCAGCGTGACCTCAACCACCCCTGGCGGCGTTGTCGTCAGCATCTGGACTCCCCCGGAAATCATCTCCCAGGCCGAGGTTGCCTTGAACGTGAGTGCCGCCATTCTGGCGTACTACGAGTCCTTCTTTGGCGTCCCGTACCCGCTGCCCAAGTCGGACTTGATTGCCATCCCCGACTTCAACGCTGGTGCCATGGAAAACTGGGGCCTCATCACCTACCGCGAAACGGCACTGCTCGTCGATCCCGCGGCCTCGTCTGCCTCGAACGTCCAGCGTGTCGTGACTGTCATTGCCCACGAACTCGCCCACCAGTGGTTTGGCAACCTTGTCACGATGGAATGGTGGAACGACCTCTGGCTGAACGAGGGCTTTGCCTCGTTTGTCGAGTACATTGGCGTCTCGTCCGTGCGTCCCGAGTGGGACATGGACACTCAGTTCTTTGTCTTGGCTCAGAAGGAAGCCTTCTCCCTCGACGCGCTCGAATCGTCCCACCCCATCGAGGCTGAGGTGACCAACCCTGGTGAAATTAGCGAGCTGTTCGATGCTATCAGCTACGACAAGGGCGCCTCTGTCATTCGCATGCTCTTCAACGTGATGGGCGAAGCCAACTTCCTCGCCGGCATCAAGTCCTACCTTCTGCAGCACCAGTTTGCCAACGCGCAGACGAACGACCTGTGGGCCTCGCTCTCTCAGTTTACCACCCTCGACGTCAGGGCCATCATGCACTCTTGGACCAGCCAGGTCGGCTTCCCCGTGCTCACCGCCACCCCTTCCAACGATGGCTCGACCGTTCACATTGTCCAGAAGCGTTTCCTCGCCGACCCCAGCGCCCAACCCGACCTCACAACTCTGTGGGCGGTGCCGATTTCCCGCACTGACTCGTCTGGTGCCCAATACCCCGTGACCTGGATCGAAGACGCGCAGCACATTATTCCTCTCACCCTCCCCGCTGGCGGCTGGTATCTGTTCAATGTCAACCGCACTGCCTTCTTCCGTGTCAACTACGATGCAGTCAACTGGGCCCGCCTCGGCGCTGCGCTTCTCAGCAACCCCTCGCAATTCTCGGCCTCCGATCGCGCCGGCATTCTCGACGACGCCTTCACCTTCGCCCGTGCCGGCGTCGTGCCGTTTGTGCTGCCGCTCAACCTGACCGCCTTCCTCTCGCAGGAGCTTGACTACACTGTCTGGTCCACTGCCGTCTCCGGCCTGGCCTACATTGGCTCGCAGCTCCGCTGGCAGCCGTCCTTCGGCGCCTTCCAGGACTACTTTGCCAAGCTTGTCGGTCCTGCGGCCAACACGCTCGGCTGGCAAATCCAGGCGTCGGACCCGCACATGACCCTGCTTGCTCGTGGCCTGGTGCTTGACGCTGCATCGCGCCGTGCCGACCAGATCGATGCCGTCGGCAACGCGACCGCGCTGTTCAAGGCTTTCATGGCCGACCCCGTGAACGCCCAGGTCCCCGCTGACTTGCGCGACTTTGTCTATCTTGTCGGCATTGCTCATGGCGACCGCCCAGAGTGGGACTTTATGTGGGAGCAGTACCTGCAGACGACCGCCGCCACCGAGCAGCGCCGCATCCTGCGCGCGCTTGCCTCGACTCGCATCCCGTGGCTCCTCAACCGTCTGTTGGCCTTCTCGCTCGACCCCACCAAGATTCGCTCCCAAGATGCTACCACCGTCGTTGCCTACGTCGCATCCCAAACCACCGGCGAGCTGGTTGCCTGGGATTGGCTGCGCGCGCACTACGACGAGTATGCTGCCATGCTCGGTGGCGGCAGCTTCTCACTCGGCAACTTTGTCTCGGGTGTCGTTGCTCACTTCCAGACGCAGCAACTTTACAACGACGTCCAAGCCTTCTTTGCCCCCAAGGAACTGGGCGCTGCCGCCAACGCCGTGGCCCAATCGCTCGAGTCCATCAGGACCAATATTCTGTGGTTGGCAGCCAACCAAGCCCAGATTGAACAATTCCTTGGCTACGTTCCTGCGTAAAGCTCGGGAAGCGTTGGGTGTTGTTCGCGTTCTCGGAGAGAGTAGTCGTTTCACTACTTCCTATTTCTTTTCTTTTTTGTTGCTTGTTCTTGGGTTTTTGGTTGTGCCTTCGCTTTTTGATTCGCGGTTTCGACACTTTCGGGTTGTTACTTTCTTCTCGAATTTGAACCTGAAATGATTGGAACCCTCCCCCCCCCCAGAAAAATAAACATCAGATTGTTTTGAACCTTGGGAATTGTGACATTTCGATTTTATTGAATTATTCCGGAATGGAAGCGCTAAAAGTACAAAAAAAAAAACCAACGATACACTTTTAAGGGCAGAAAAGAAAAAAAATGGGAAGAGAGACATAACAAAGAACAAAAAAGACGCCTTATACATGACAGACCAAAGCAGAACGAAAAATGAAGGGGGGAAGAGCAACAAAAGAGTGGGTGTGAGCAACCTTTTTGCAAATGTCATGAAACAAAGCCAGAGTTAGAACAAGCATTGGTCGCCAAAACAATGCCCGTGTCGTAGTAGTGGCCGGCGAAAAGAAAAAGTTCCAATGGACATTGCTTGAAAAAAGATTGCGCTTTACTCGAACGAGCGCTGCTGATCGAGAATAGAGCCTGCTTCGTGCGGCAGTCGGGTGCGCGACGGGCCGAGAACGACCTTGGCAACCGACTCGAAGAGACGCTCAATTTCAGGGGCGCAGCGAACGAACGAACGCGACCAAAAGTTGTAATCGCGGTTTTTGATGAGCTCAATGAAGGTGATGAGAATGCCCCATGGGTGGGGGCGGTTGGCAAGCAAGCGCTCGAGAAGGACGCGCGTGATTTGCTCCTGGATGATCTCTTGGCTTGCTTGGGAGAAGAGTGACAGTAGCACAAAGCTAAAGTAGTGGGTGTGGTTGCACGGGAAGCGCAGCTGGTTGGCAATGGCAGTAAAGTAGAGGTATCGCCCCTCAGCGTCGAGATCGACAGCGAGCTGTTGGTAAATGTCCATTGCCGGGTTGTGCATGATGGCTTGCGCTTGGCCGCTCTGGGTCGGTACCTGGCGGATGGCCACGAGTGCGTGGCAGCCAACGTAAACAACGAGCGAGTTGATGAGCGGGACGTTGTACTTTGTGCCAGCGGCGGCGACTTCGCTCTCGGGGAGGAGGAGACTGCTGCGAAGATCCATCAGGAATGAGATGGGGGCTCGCGTCTTCAAAAAGACCTCCACGCCCTCGTGGATGCTCGAGTTGTACAAGGCCAGATGGAAGTTGGACGGCAGATGCGGGGACAGCTGAATCTCAGGCAGCAAGTCCACCTTCAAGTTGGGCGTGAGCGGATCGGGCAAGCGCATCGAGCGCGGGAAGGCGCTCAGAATGAGATTGCGCAGCTGAACGCACTTGGTCGGAATGACGTCGCAGAAGCTGAAATGGTAGTCGCACAAGAACTCGGGGAAGTCGTGCAAGAGCACGAGCAGCACGCGAACCAAGCCACGGTACAGTCGACGGACAGGGCTCGGCAGCTCGTCGCGACGCAGGTACGGAACGAGGTAGTTGAACACGTCCATAAACAGCCGCTGAAGCACGGGCCAGCCCTTTTCCGCCTTGATGGTCAGCAGCTTTGGCATGTAGAGTCGGTGCGACACCAGTTCGAGCCAAGCAAAGGCAAAGCCTTCGAGGGCCGACGGTTGCATGGCGTGGAGCGTGTTGCTAAACAGCGACAAGAACTGCAGGTACTGGATTTCCGAAATCACATCGCGATCGCTGAAATCGGTCAGCAGGCCCTGCAGAATACGGAAGTAAGGACGCTGGTTGAAGCCGCCGGCGCGCTTGATGGAGTGCTCCTTGGCAGCCACGGATGCAATTGCGTTGAGTGTGTTCTGGATGAATGTGACGCGGGTGGGGCTCAGCATGTCGGTGCTGCGCAGGAGCACAAAGAAGAACTTGACAAAGGCATCAGGGGCGGCGTACGGCGAGTGGTGAATCCAGTGGAGCACCGTGCCCGACGCTGCGCCAACCACGGTCGGCGCGGTGGAAACGTTGGCACTGACTGCGGCATTGCTGGCAGCATAGAAGGCCGCGGCAGTCGCCGTGTTGGACGTGGTCGGCGGAGTGTTGGCGGCGGCAGGAGCAATGGTCGAGTTGGCACCAACCGCACCGCCAGCGACGGCCGAGAATGAAGCGGGCGAAGGGGCGGTGGGCATGCCCTGCGTGGTGGCACCACCAGCCGGAGAAAGCGGGCCAGTGTTCGATCCGAGTTGGCTTTGCAGCTGGGCTTGGCGAGAAGCGGGATCGGCGACCTGGTGGTACAAATCCACGACATACTCGACAATGGTGCGAATGACGCGGAGTGTGTGCTCGTCGCTGCGGAAGACCTGCATGTCCTGGAGCCGGGCAAAGAAGGACGCAAACAGCGGCGTAGTCGTGTTGGGCAAAGGTTGCTCGACATACACGGCGCCGTTGGTGTAGAAGGCCGTCATGAACATGTCAAACAGCGACACGGCCTGGTCGGTGAAGGCGGCGCCTTCTTCGGGATCGGGTCCAACCAAGCGGTCGTTGGCAAAGGCACCAGAGCGGGCCATGTCGAACGACTCGGAAGCAATCGCGCTGGCCGCGGCAGCAAAGGTGGACGGTGGCTGCGGGACTGCGCTGGCGATCGGCGAGCCTTGCTGCGCGCCAAGGAAGGCTCCCATGGTCGAGCCGAGGTTGGACGAGCGACCCGCCGCCGCTGCTGCTGCGGCTGCTGCTGCGCGAGCGGCGGCCAGTTGCTGGTGGGGTTGGCCGCCTTGCGACTGCTGTTGTTGCTGCTGTTGTTGCTGCTGCTGCTGCTGTTGTTGTTGCTGCTGCTGCTGGAGCAACAACTGCTGCTGTTGCTGCGGAGTCAGCATGCCAGGTCCACCAATCTGAGCGCCAGCCTGCAGTTTCTGGGCGCGGACACGGTCAATCAAGGCCGCCAACGGCGCAGGCAGCATGCGGTTTGAAACGTGAGCAATCTTGCCAAGCATGTCGAGAACGTTGAAGAACTCGATCGGCGCCGGGGTGTGCACGGGCTTGTCGGTCAGGTACAGCTTGCCAATGAGGCGGAGCGTAAAGTCGCCAGCAGCCACATGGCGGGTATCCTCCAGCAGCTTGGCAAGATACGCGTCAAGATCGGGTGCAGAGAGAAGCTGGGCGCGCAGGAGACCGGCCACGACATCCACGTGTGTCTTAAAGCCGTCGTCGGCAAACATGAGCCAGGCGGTCAAATCGGACGGCATCTTTTTGCAAAGCGCCTTGATGTTGTGCAGCAAGCCAAAGCAGGCTTCCTTGAGGATTTTGACCGAGCTCTCGAGGAGCATGCGCAACAGCTCGCGAGCGACAGAGCACGACAGCTCGTCGCGGCCTGCGTTCAGCGGGCATTGCTGGATGGCCTGCGGGATGGTGTGCATGAGCGCCATGACCTCGTGCGACTGCGGAATCGAGCCAATCGACAGGCCGGCAAACTCGGCCGACGACAGCATCTTGGACATGTCCGACAGGCGCTTTTCCATTGCCTGGAGCAGGCGGGGATCGAGAGGCGCGGAAGGGCCGGCGAGAGAATCGCCAAACATGGACTTTTGCAGAGATGGGTCGCCTCCAGCAACGCCACCTGCGGCAGCAGCAACTGCAGCGGCGGCGGCGGCAGACTGGGCCTGAGCCTGTGCGGCGGCGGCAGCTGCGGCTGCCATCGATGCGGGCATGGTGCGCATGAAATCGTCGTACACGCGCAGCTGCTGGCCGGTGGTGCTGCCAGGCTTGGGCCGCAAAGGCTCGGCGAGGGTAGCCAGCCGTGGCATCGAGTAATGGTTCAGGTCGTACGGGACCTGGCCAGGGCGACGGCGGCGCAGAATGTTGGTGGCAAACTGCTCATCGGCCTCCATCGCAATGACACTCTTCTCCATGGCAGCCTTTTCAATGAACGTGCAGGCCAGGTCCAAGTTGTCGGCAACCAGCTGGGGAATGGACGCTTCCAGCATGGCCTGGAATTCCATGTTGCCCTGCATGGACTGCTGCAAAAAGTTGCGAAGGTGCGACGTCATGGCGGTGCGCAGAGGCTCGCGGCTTGTCACGGTCGCGAGAGAGCCGGCAAGGTTCTGGACGGCCAGCTGAGCCGCCTTGCGGATCTTGGCTTCGTCAAGCTCGAGCACAAAGTCCTTGAGCACGAGCTCGCGGGTGGTGACGCACGCAATCGGGCAGTAGCGGTCGAGGACGGGGCCAATAATCTCGTTGATGGAGCGCTCCATGGCGAGGAAGATGTACGACTTGAGCTGAGGCATATTGAGCGGGGTGTTGGGTGCCACGTGAATGAACGGCGAGAGCGTCGTAATCTGGGCCGTCGAGATGGAGCTGAACGGCACGTTGGCGTGGTGCGTGGGAAGCGGGTGATCGTGGCCAAGTTGGCCATGCGCCTGTTGCAGAGCAGCCTGCTGCTGCTGCAGCTGGAGTTGCTGCTGCATGAGTTGCTTGCGCTTTTGCATGTCCGCGATCGCAGTGGCGGGAACAACCTCGTTGCTGTCAATGTTGAGGTTTTTGCACAAGACCTCGACCTCAAACTTGAGATTGAGCTTGAGATCGGGGAGCGAATGCAGCTCCTTCAGGACGGCAATCATGCCCATCAGCCAGGGATTCGGGGGCTTGAAAATGCGAGACTTGCACCCTTCGAGCACCTTGGCAACGAACGGCACCACGTACAGCAGCTGGTCTGTCTCGTAGGCTTGAAGGATCAAGTCCTTGATTGGCAGGTCGCGGTGCAAAATGGGCTTGTTGCGGCTCAGCGTCATCAGACCGAGCCACGAGCCGAGATTCTTCAGCAGGCTGCGCTCCGAAGAGCCCTGCGTGGTGCCAATCTTGTCCGACTCGAGCAAAATCCGGATGGCCGAGTACGTCTCGTCCAGAAGCATGCGAGGGAGCTGCGGAATCTTGAGGCTTTCCGAGAAGGCCAGGTACAGCTGATGGAAGTTTGGCTCAATGCTGGCACGCTTGACCACGAGATAGTGCACAAACCAAGGGAAGAACTCGGGCGCAAGCAGCTTTTTGAGCTCGTTGGCCTTCTTGTCGAGGTTGGAGATGGAAATGTTGTTGACAATGAAGGCCACCTTCTCCTGGATCTGGTCTGTGGGCTTGGGGAAACTGGCGGCCATCTCGGCCGCAGCCAGCAGAGTCTTGATGTTGTTGGCAGACGACGTGAGGGAGGGACCCTGGCTGGCTGCCGCCGCAGCCGCAGCAGCAGCGGCAGTGCCGGGCGTTTCCGTGCCGGGAGTGGCGCTGCGGCTGCTCAGCGACGAGTTGCCAGCGCTGGAATCGTCGCCGCCAGTGCCGGGGGTGCCGGGTGTACCAGGCTCAGTCCCTTCACCAGAACCAACCGCACCGCCAATGACGCCAGGACGATGCAAGCCCGCCCAGTTGTTGTTCCGAGCCGTGCGGATTTCGTTAATCAGCCGACGGGTGGTCGCCGACGCGTGCCCGCTGGCCTCCACCAAGTTGGACAGGAACTTGTCCATCCACTCGACCGATGCCACGCTCAGAGGGGCGCCGATGATGGCAAAGGTCCTGCAGAGAATCTGAAGCACCTCGTCATTCGCCAGAGTGCCATTGCCGCTCATAAAGGCCCGAATGCAATAGACAATAATCTTGGTGGTAAGCACATGAAGGCGGAAGAGTTCACCGAGGAAGAGCATCCAGCCATAGTGGCGGCGCTTGACGGTGCCCAGCTCGGACGCGTCGCGATCGTTGGCAGCCAGCGCGCTGTGGCCATGCTCAAACTCGACTTGGCAAATGTTAAAGAAGCAACGTTTGAACGCATTGTTGGTGGCCGTGCGGTAGATGGGCTGACACAACTCGGCCACCACCAGAGCAATGAGTTCGAGGCGGCCGCTGCCGCTGCCCGACACGCTCAGAGGGGCGGTCTCGTTTGCGTTGATCACGAGGCCGTCTGCGGCAGTCAGGGCAGCGTCATACACGGCCTTGGCAATGATTTCGGCGAGGCGAACAACATTGCCGTTGGCCGAGGCGGGCAGCGGCACGTTGGTCAAGTCGGTGGCGACCTTCTTGATGTTGCCTGCGTGGAGCGACGAGAGGGCGGCTGCTGCAGCAACGAGGGCCGGCTCCTCCTCGGGCTGAATGACTGGAATGGGCTGGTTGCCGAGAGCGGCTGCCTGGGCAGCAGCGCCGCTGGCGGTGCCTGACGACGCGCTCGTCGCTGCACCCGCAGACCAAGAGGCCGAGCTGCTTGATGGCGAAATGCCAGCACCAGCATTGCCCACAGGTGAGCTGAACGACGACAGGGCGCCGTTGGCGACACCGCCGTCAGACGCGCCAGGGGTTGCGACGAGAAGGGCTGTCTGAAGCGCAACGTCACTCAGCATACCGTCAGAAGCCGATGCACCTTGCTGCAAGCTGTTGCGGACGGCCTGGACAAGCTCTGGTGGGAAGCGCAAAAAGTGGGGAATTTCGACAATCTTGAGCGCAAACTGCGGCCACTCGGCGAGTCGAGACTTGATGCAATCCAGGCCGACGATGGCAAAGCGCACAAACAGGCGCGAATCGGACGGCTTGCGCAAACCCTCGAGAATAAACTTGAGGAAGGAAGCGCCGACCACGCCAGAAACGACGCGCTCGCTCAGTAGCGAGCCGTACAAGCGGCCGGCAATGGTCAGGGTCTCATCGCCGTACCGAGGCAAGTGCAGGTACTCGGAATAGAGCTCCTTGATCAGGCAGTTCAGCACCATCTGGTCGCGCGGGAACGCTGAGGACTTGAGCAGCTTGACACGGTCGACAAACCGCTCCACCGACATGCTGCCCTTGAACACTTGCTGCAGTTCACCGGTGGCTTCGGCTTGGACATCTGGCGGATATGTCGCACCGTCGCTGAGGGAGCTGTCAAGTTGTTGCTGTTGTTGTTGTTGTAGTTGCTGTTGCTGTTGTTGCTGCTGCTGTTGGAGCGCGTCCATGGGGCCTTTGCCAATGGAGCGCAGAAACTCTTCCACGTCAATGCCCAGACCACCTTGACGGAGGCAAGGGACGAGCACATTCTGCAAAGCGCTGGTAATCTCCTTTGGAAAAGTGTTCATCAAGGGCTGGAGCGTTCGCACAAAGAGTGCAACAAGATCTGGTGGAATGCGAACGGGCGATGAAGGATGGACCTCGAGGAAACGACGCTCCAGGAATCGTGCAGCCGCAAGTGCAAATTCCGAGCGTTGTTGGGCGTGTCGTTGCTGCTGTTGAGGCGATGCTCCGCTGGAGGCATCTGGTCGCTGCAGCTTGTCAGCGAGCCACTTGGACAACACGAGCAAGTTTTTCCGAGCAGCAACAGCAGCCAGCTCGACAGAGAACGTGTAGGGTTGGGCGTCGAGGAACTGGGGCAATGCGTTCAGTGCTTGGACAATGTCGAGGGTCTGAGACAGCCGGACAAACCATCGGTCGTCGTCGTCGATAGCATTCCACTCGGCAAGTGCTTGGAGGACAAACCGGTCATTGACTTGCCAGATTTGCTGGAAGAGAGCGACGGGAATCGGGGATGGTGGAGCGCCCTCGGCCACTGGCTGCACAAGCTGTGTAATGATGGCGCGGGCCAAGTCCAATTGCAGTGGCGACGACGGGCAACGTGACTTGACCAGGCCAAACAAAAGCAGCTCTGGACATGCGCGAATGGCGGGCAAAAAGAGCGAGTTGACGTTCATCTCCATTTCTGCATTGGCACCGATGGCGAGGAGCGTGTCAATCAACTCCTGGCAAGTCCAGTTCTGTACTTGCTGCTCGTTTGTTTCTGTGCTGGACGAGGCGATGGCGAGCCAGTCTGCGCACGCTTGTCGAGAGTCGTTCGTTGCAAACGAGAAGACCGATGGAGGTGCAGACAAGGCGGCAGTCAGCATGACTAGTTGGGAGGCAACGTGTTGCCATGGTCGGAAGAGAAAGTCTGAAGTGAACGGGGTGGGGGCCGTCTCTTCCAGACCCATGCCCCGCAAAATGGCTCGCGAGAGGAAGGTGAAGCCCTCGCCGCCGTCAACTGTCAAGCCCTCGTAGTCCAAGGCAAAGATGACCTCCACAAAGTTGAGGGATGGCTGGATTTCCTTCACGACATCGATGAAAGGGGCAACATTCCATGTTGTGGGCTTGTGTGATGAGTCGTCGTTGGAGGAGGCTTGTTGTGATGGTTGTTTTCGGTCCCAGGGGCTGGAAGAGCCTCCCGCTGCGCCCCACGCGCCGCTGGTACTTTGCAAAGGGAGGGTGTCCTCGAGTCCCGAAAGGGTGCCTGCCATCATGCCGAGCACGCGAGCAACGACGACAGGGGTGATGGTGGCGGGTGGATAATAGTCCAGCAGCTCGTGCACCGAGCTGAGGGATGCGCACGAGGCATAGCCCAGTTCGCGCATCAAGTTGGCGAGCGTGACATGCGCCGTCACTTGTGAAACAACGGACGCCGCCATAGATGTAGAGCTGCTAAATCCGATCGATTGGTCGACTGGAAAGATAGTGTCGATGCTGACGTCCTGCTTTTTGCTGTGGTAGAGGAAAGGAGCGAGGGTAAGCGGCACAACATCCAACGGGTACTGCGCTTGAAAAGTGTGGACGACCTCGGCGAGCTGATCCTTCTTCAGACCAATCTCAGACGAGGAGGCAACGAGGTGCTCGAGAAGGTTGCGGAGAAGCGCTTCCGAGACGGGCGGTTGTGAGGGAGCGGACGCCGATGAAACGAGGGTGGCAAAGTGGCTCGTCACAAACTGGAGACTCAGTGACTGGATTTCACTCGACGAGGACTGGAGGAGCCCGAGAGCCACAACAAAGCTCTGTACTAGAGAGAGCTTGAGGATGCGAGGGAAGTGGCCAAAAAATCCAAAGAGAGCCTCGGAAACGGCAGCCGAGTTTGGAAGAGTGCGGGATGCGGCTGGCTCGTCGCTGGCAACCGGTTGGAGCGCGAGGCAAAGCGCAGACGCAAAGTTGGGTCGTTCGAGAAGCGATGCGACCTCTTCACCAAAGAAACGGACGACGGGGGCGTCAGAAATGTCCGACTCGGTGGAAAAGTTGATCGACCAGAACAGGCGCCTTAGAAGAAAGTGGTAGGCGTCGGTCCCGTACTGTGCGACGACCTAGAAAAACGGTGCAACGCAAGCAACAGAAGGAAGGAGGAAAAAAAGGTGAGAAACGACAACAACGAGCGATCAAGGTCTGGCCTGTCTTTTGCTTGTTGGCCCCCCTCCACCAAAACCCGGGGTCGTCCCTCTCCGGTACCTTGCGAAGTTCGGCGATGACTGGAGAAGAGCTCTGTCGCTTGGAAACGTCAGAGAGAGCGGCGAGAGAGGAAACACACTGAGCGATCTTGGAGGCAACTAGCAATGTGACGTTCTGCGTCATTGAGCGGGGTCCCCGAGTTGACTGCAAGAAGGGTGGTTGGTGTTACCGGCCGAATCGGACCAAGAAGCACCAGCGGGGATGAGGGATGGAGGGGAAACTGAGAAGAAAAAAAAGTTGGGAGAAAATAATAGGAAAAAACCAATCCCAGGGAACTACCAACGGGAGAAACAACAGCAGCAGCAACAACAACAACAACATCAAAAGGAAGACAGTCAGAGTGAGTCATCATGCCCGATGGTTGAAAGCACACACAAACACACACGAACACAGAGCAGACCAAGCAGATTCCCCATCATCTCCTGCGATGCAAAGCTCATCCCTCCCTCCATCCGATGGACGCGCGACATAGAGCAGTAGCATCGACAAGTCTGCAACTGCAGCGTTGCGCTAGGCTCGCGCCCGCTTGCAACCATACCCCACCCCCCTTCTCCTTCCAAAAGGCCTCAAAGTAACGATCTCGAGAAACAAGAAAAAAAAAAAAAAAAAAAAAGTCGATGCTCAAACGCACTTGAATCGAGAGGACGCTGAAACGCGATCGACCGACCGTGCGCTGCGACTCGTCCTCGAACACACACAAACCAGCCGAGTCTATCTGATGTGTGGCTATCGTTCGAAAGTGCACACGACGACCACGCGTTCGAATGAATCGACCAAGACAAGAGGTGGAAAAAAAAGCGCGGCAAAAAAAAAAAAAAAAAATGAAGATCAGCAGTTTTTTTTTTTTTTCTTTGTTCCCTGGTTGCAGTGGCGGTCTTGGCCAGCTTCCTTGGTGCCGGCTGGCATTGAGTGGACGCGGAACCACGGCATTTGCTGCTCCCAAGCAACATTCGCAGTGTTCAGCAGACAACGGCCGGAACAGCCAGAATACGAACAGCCAAAAGACGAAGAAAAAAAAAAGTTGGCGCGCTGAGCTCCAATTGCCTCTCCCCCCCCCCGTTTCCTCCCCTTCCACCAAGGCTGGGCACTCAAAACAGAGAAGAGCTCGGTGCCATCGTGAAGTAGCGAACGATACAAGGCGGACACCGCGCGAATAGGAGGACGCAGAAGAAAAAGGCAAATAGAACAAAAATCAAAAGAATAAAATAAAAATAAAATAAAATAAAAACTTACAAAAAAAAAAAAACGAGTGTGTTTTGAATTGAATTTGGGTTGCGATCGACGAGAGAGAGAGAGAGAGAGAGAGAGAGAGAGAGAGATGAGAAACATTCGAGTGTATTGCGTTTTGTATCCCACAAAGCAAAGTACGTGACAAATCAGTCAACTTGGAAGGAAGCGGTCAGTCCTTGTTGTCTCGTCCGTTTCACAAGCTCAAGCTCGTTCTTTTGCCAGAAATCGACATGGCTGAGCCATCGGTGCCCTCCACCGTCGAGCAGTCGCTGGCAGGTTTGAGCATGAATGACAAGACTACCACAAGGGTGGATGAGGAGCCGGCCCGGACGCAGAACGCAGAGATTGCCTCAGCCGGAACCGCAAACGAGCAACCGACCTTTGTCGATGTGGGAATTGCCGCCCGAGACCTCCTGCCTGGCCGCTCCAAGCATGTGCAAGTGCAGGATCGACAGGTGGCCATCTTCCGAACACATGCCGGAGCGCTGCATGCGCTGGATCATCTGTGCTACCGTAAGTGCGATTGTGCTTTGCCGCTCGCTGATGCTGCACTGATGGTCAATGTCGCATCTTGCTCGCTTCACTTTGCTGAATGTCATCGGTTTGTGTTCTTGTTTGTGGCATAGACATGGGCAGTCCACTTGCAAGTGGGGATATTGAGGTGAGGGACAAAACCTGCTGTTTGGACTTTTTTTATGTCCATAGCAACCCACTTCTTGTTCAACACGATGAGCGAGAAGCACTTTCAATCATTCATTCTGGCTGATTCGTGTGAATGATTGTGCATGAGAGAACCAAGACACGTCCCTCTCTCTTTCAAAGCCATCAATCTCACTTGTTTTTTTTGTTTTTTTTTTTTGCTTCAACATCGTCCGCCTCGCTTGCCAACGCCAACTTGGTAGGACATTGGTGGACATGCTTGCGTCATTTGCCCTTGGCACAAGTACGTCATTGCGCTGGACACTGGGGAAGGCTTTTACAAGAAGATTGACCCGTACGCGGCCAAAGGTTCGCCGCCAGAGCTGTGCTCGAAAGGCGTGCGCCAGCGCGTTCACCACGTTCGCGTCGGCAAGGGCGACAAGCTCGAGGTGGCTCTGTCCATATCCAAGGAGCCGTTGGCATCCGATCACTACCACCAGGCGTTTGCCCAGGGCATGGAACGTATGAAGCAGGCTGGGCTGTCCGTCTCCAGCGGCGTTGTTGTTGCCGGTGGACTTCCAGGCGGCAGCCGTGCTGGTAGCTAATGCGTTTCTCCCATTTGTCCACATGGCGATGGACAGTGATTGATGAATCGATTGATTTTTTTGGTTTGTGTGGCGCAAAGGCGTTCTCGTCTTTTCCACTTTCTTTCTTTTTTTTTTCGAATCGGTTGCATTCTGTTGCTGATCGTACTATTATGTATTGATTTTCTTTTCTCTTGTAAAATATAACTGCATTCCATGTTACTTCCTGTCATGTCCTGAGTTGGATTTTGTTTCAGTCTTTTGTTCTGTTTCAAGTGTAACCAGCTTGTTCTGCTGCTTGACCACACCCCCCTTCGATCTCCCGTCGAACTCTCTCCCCCTCCCCAGTCCTCCGTTCAATCGCGATAAGCAAACACCATCCTTCTGTTTTCAAGTCTCAGGTGTGCTTGGTCACACACGCCACCCACCTTCGACCACTGCTCGACACATTCAAAACCGCACAGAGAAAAAACGCGGGACTCTATTCGCGCCCAAAAGGCTTTTTATGCTGCTCAGGACCGCGAAAAACAGCACTTGTCTCTGCGCCCTTCTCTCGCATCCAGCCTTGCTGTGCTTGTGCTCTTGAGTGGTCGTGACTGCATGCCACTGTCGTGCGACAAGCGCTGTTGTCAAAGCGCGGAAGGGAGCCGAACGCGCTGAGTGGTTCTTTTTTTTTTTTTTTTTTTCTTTCGCTGTTTGTTTTCGTTTGGCTGCTGCTTCTCTGCGCTGCTTCACTTTCTCTCTCTCTCTTTTTTGCTGTTCTACTTTTACCCGTGAATTGGAGGCTTGTTGGTGCAAGTCGCAATTTTGTCAGCAAAGCGGGCCTGCGCACTTGGCGTCCTGGAAGAAGCACGATTCACTTCCCACAGAAAATCCAGCGAACCCTTTGCGGCAAAAGCCACTTGTGTCGCCCGCTCTCGCTCTCACTGCACTTGCGCACTTGTCCCCCACCCCCCGGCCTCCCCGAGACTCCCGCATCTGCTGTTTCTGGTTGATGCAAGCGCTTCTGAAGATGGCGGGGGGGGGGGAAACAAGCACTCTTTTGTCGCCTGTTGCTGCGTCCAATTCTGTCGAGCCTCATTCCTGCAACCTTTTTACTCTTGTTTGAGTTTTTTAGGTACCTCCCACAGGAAGACATCTTTCCCTCAAGGCACATCCATCATCGGGGACACTGCACAGCGACCATCACCAACACACTTCTATTGTGGCACCACTTGGCATCACTTGGTCTCCAAACGTCCACCCCTGTTCGAGTCGTGTGGATTGTTGAATCCTAATTTGGAGCTAGCCGCCAAAAAACGCTCCTTCTCGACAGCAACACGCCCCATCTTTTGGTCTTTCTATTTTGCCTTTCTCTACATTTGTGTCGTCAAGATCAACCCGCTCAACTTTCACAGCATTGAATTCTCACCATGTTGGCGCAACCAATCACCGCACCTGGCACGCCGTCACCTGTCAAGATGGAAACATCCTCGCGTCCCGCTCTCCCGCATTACCCCTTGTCGCTGCCTGCTCAGCGCGCTGCGTTGACACCGCCCATGTCGGCGTCCTGCAACGAAGGCGTCTTTGCCCTCGAAAACGCCGCAGAGGTGCCATTCTCAACCAGCCCGACCCCGTCAGAACCACCATCGCGCCGGCCTTACAATCGAGTCGCATCCAAGTCGGGATTTGGCTTCCTTGCTCGGTCCAGCTCCCCGGCGGCTCAGATTAGTGCCAGCACGTCGTTGAAGCGCGACACGAGCAGCTCCAGTCTGCACGCCAAGCACAGCAACATGCTGCCCCTCGCTTCGCTCTGCCATCGCAAGTCAGTCCTCCAATCCGACATGCACGCCAGTATGAACAGCGCCACCGTCTCTTCTTTTGAGCTTGCGCCCTCCGCTTCTGCCCCGGCCATGTCCCAGAGCTCTGGCTTGGATGGTGCCCGAGGGCTTTTCCACCACCGTGCGCATCAGCACCGTGCTGACCTCTCAGCTGGCAGCAACGGCCCTTCCACTGTGAATATTGTCCACCGACTTGCTCATTCACAGCTGAATGGACGGCGGTTTTCTGGAACTCCTATCGCTCGAGTACGTTTCCGCCCGATTGTTGCAATTTGTTTTTCGTTCTTTGCTTGGTGTCGTTGCTGGTGTTGCTGTTGCTGCTGCTGTTTTTGCGGCTATTGTCCTGGAGGTTGCTCGCTTTCTCACCTCTTCTACCACCATCTCGTCTGATTCCGATTGCACAGTCACCAAAAGCATTCACTAGCGCCGTTTCCAACCAACTCAATGATTTGCCAGAGTTGCTTGTACGACTGGAACAATGCGTGGCAACGCGCAACGATGTTGCCAACCGCGCCCATTTGACTGCTCTTGCATCCCATCTTCTGGGGAGCCGCTTGCCTGCACTTCTTTCACATGCACCATCAGCCCTTGTCACTGCCGACGCAGAACCGTTCTTTGCAAGCCACGCCAATTCGAGCGAATCCACCGGGCCCTCCATCGCGAGCTGGCTGGTCAATCTTAACAGCCAACCGCTCCCAACGGATGCAGCGGATGAGGCAGCAGTCGCACACGAGCATACGCTCGCACCGTCGGCCTCCCTGCCCTCGTTCACTGCCGCCACCGAGCGCCGCTTTCATTTCCGACTCTCTCCACACGATGCGTTCGCCATGCTCGGGGGTGTCCGGCTATTAACAAGTCTGATTCTGCGCGACGACTTGGCCATTCTGCCACCAAACAGCGTCTCTGAAGTGGGAGGAGGACCCATCCGGCCAACGCTTGTACCAAATCTTGCTGCTTTGCGCGTGATTAGCGCAGCGCTGGATTTGCTGCGACACGTTTGCATCCAAGTGCCCTCCACAACTGCAGAGCTGGCAAACGACCTGCCCTTGCTTCGACAGCTCTTCTTGTTGTGCTCGTTCAAGACGACAATTGCCAACGCCACGGCTCTGCTGGAAGAGCTGCTGGCGGCGCGCACCAAAACGTTCGACTTGTCGCTCATTCCGAACGTGCACCAGCTCATTTCGTCGCTTGCTTTCGACGATTTCACACACTTTATCAAGATTATTGTTCTTCTTGTCTACGATCTGGAAGACCACGGTGTGGCTGACGCTGTGCGTGTTTCCTTGGACAAGGAGGTTCGCGCAGTTCAACGCCATTCCTCCATGCTTGCCCCAGTCCGCCAGGTCGATCGGAACCATGCTCTGCTGCTCGGCAATCCAGATCTTCTAACCCGACTGGTCAAGGTGCTGGACGTTGGCGTGAACGGCGCGTTGCGCGAGCTGTGGCTCGACACGGAAACCGCTCGCCAGGCCGCTGCGCATCGCGAGCGAATGGCTCAGGCTGCCGCGGCCGAAGCTGCAGCGAGTGCCGCTGCTGTTGCTGCTACTGCTGCCACTGCCGCTGCAGTCGCCTCCAATCCTTTCCGCCCTCTTCCGTCCGTGCCTGCTTTTGCCAGTCCTGCTGATCTCGCGGCCATGGCGGCCTCGGCGGCCGCCAGCCCTGGCCCGGCCCGCATCTCTCGGCCTCGCCGCCAGCCGTTGCTTGCAGACTCTGACTACACTCCTGCGCAGCAGGTTACCGTGGATCAGGACTTTCGTCTGGAGACGTGGCACCGCGCTGTCGCAGGTGCATCAGCACTCTCGTTTTTGCGGCCCAGCGCGCATCCTGTAACACATGCTCCCCCTTGCTCGCATGTGACCATTTCGACACTGGCGGAAGTCATTTTTGTCTTCAACCTGCTCTTGGGCAGCAAGCGCAAAGCCGACACGCAGACTCGCCTGGCGCAGCTGGGCCTTGTGCCAATTCTTTGCAAAGCCTACTCGTTCATGCACTGGCGGCCAATTCCACCCACTCCTGCGCATTCTAGCAATCTTAACGTGGACAACACTACTGTCAAAGTCCAGTATTTGCGTTTGGTAAAGCATTGGGGCTGGGCGGAACTGCTCGTTGTATGTTTTGCTTGCTTTTTTTTGCTTCAAAGTGTATTTCTCACTTATCTTGGTTCTGATGTGGCTCTTTCTTTTGTTGTTGTTGTTGGCTCAGCTTCATGGCATGGCGGATGGCATTCCAGATTCGCGCCACCATCGTTTGTTTTTTGCTCAAGCAGAGCTGTCTCAAATCCGCACTATTGAACGTCTGTGGCGGGTGCAGCGGGGACCCGAGCAGTTTGCCAAGTAAGGCGTCTGTTGAATTTGTTGTTGAGTTTTGCCGAGGTTGACAAAAATCACTGTTGACACTCAAAAACAAAACAATTACTTGTCATGATTTGCTTGCTTGTAGAGCCACTTTCTGCCGAGAACCAGTCGGCCTGGTCAAGCTGATGATGCATGAGTTGTGCTCCAACGAAACGTTGGATGCGTCAATGAAGTTCCAATTCGTGGTCGCCATCGAAAGTCACATTCGCGGTGCGACAAGTGCCGAGCGAGCACTTTTGGCCACCAGCGACTTTTTCCAGTTTTTGCTGGACGAATTGCTTTCGCCCGAGTTCAAGACCAGCTCCATCCTGCAGAGCTTGTTCGATCTGCTTGGCGAGCTGATTCGATTCTGCCCCGTGCTCTTGATGCAGTTCTCTGACTTGTGCACCGACGAAGCGTTTGCTCGGCTGCTGCATGTCATCAGCCTGCATCTGGTTGACGCAAACGTATTCTTGCGCAGCATCATGATGACCATTAGCCATTACTCCCAGCACCACCGCACGACGGCTGAAAGCGACTGCACGAGCTACATTCCCGAGCGATGCAAGTTTGCCGCCTTCTTCGGCGACCCCGCGAACGTCATGTGGCTGTGTGCGCAGCTAATGCTCGTGATTAGCATTGACGAGCTCAGCCAGGAGAACATTTGCTGTCTCAACAGCGCACTGGTCATTTTCGTGTTTGCCTACCGTGAGGGTCAACTGGCATCCTTTGTCGAGCGCCTGTACGCCGTGTGCAATCTCGTCAATGGCGATGCGGCAGCCACCTTTGCCAACTTTGCCCAGCTGCTGGTCTTCTGGAAGCAGCACTACCTGAAGCGGCACCGCGACCTGTATCAGCTTGCTGCCGGGTCCAGGATTAGTGTGGATGACTGGATGACAGTTGTCAATGTTGTTGCCTCGTTTTGTTGATCTGCTTTTGGATTTTATACATTTTTTTATCTTTTATTTATTTTTTATTTTTATTTTTTATTTTTTTTTTTCGATTAACACTTGTTTGCAATGCCGACGCATTCGCTTTCAAAATCGTCCAATCCCAGCGATACAAAACGCTGGTGTGTCACACGGTTATGCCAGCTGTCGTTCACTCACTCACTCACTCACTCACTCGCTCACTCACTCACTCACTCACTCACTCACTCGCTCACTCACTCACTCACTCTCACTCTCTCACGCACTCACTCACACCAAAAGGTCGTTCTGGTTTGGAACATGATTTCTGTAAATCGAGCTATCACTCTTCTGTTTCTTTCTGTTTGTTTTTGTGGTTTGCCTATTTTTTCCCTATTTTTTCGGTTCGTTCCTTTTTCCTTGTTTGTTACCGTCTTGCGTCCTTTCATTTCTTGCAACAGCACACCGAACATTGCCAGACCCCCGCATCTCAACACTCAACTGCTATCACTACCTCCAACCTGACTCTTGACCGTGTGAAAGGAACAGCAAGCGCATGCGGTAGGGGGGGGGGCTTTCTTACAGAAAAACAAAAGTACACGCCCGATAAGCATGTCGACTACTGTGGGGTAGCATGCAGTGCCTCGCATGTGAATCGCGCGCTGTCCTTGCTATGCAAGCGCACAGATTTGGATACTGAGTGACGCTGACAATGGCGTGAGAGAGAGCGAGAGAGACAGTGAGAGCGAGAGAGAGAGAGAGAAACGAAAAGTGCTCTCCTGAGCAAAACTAGAAAAAAATCGTGCCGTCAAACCGTATTTTGTTGTGGGCTTTGGATTGGGGCAGTTGAAGGGAGGCGGGAGCAGGAGCACGCTCTTCAGCGAGAGTGCGAAAGAGGGAGCGAGCGTGCGAGAGTCAAGACAAAGCAAAACGCTCATCCTACATTCCTGCTTGGCGAGTTTGTTCGCTTTGTTTGTTCTTTGTGGTTTTTCTTTCTTTTGTTTTTTTTTTTTTCTTTTTTTTGTTTTTTTGTGGTTTTTTTTTGTGGTTTTTTTTTTTTTTTGGTTGTTTGTTTGTTTGGTTTCGCTTTTCTTGCTTCTTCCCTTCCGGCTTGAGATGATGCTGAGCTGACTATTTCTATTTCATTCAAACAGGAAGCAAACTCACAACGACCAAGTCCAAAAATGGCGAATCTGACGCTTTTGTGGGGAGGCATCGTCGTCGTTTTGCTCATGGCCTGCCTTGCCCCTCAAGGCACACTGGGCGACATCCACAATCTCCCAACACTCTGGACAAACGCGGCCAAGACCACCCGTCCGCAACTTGCTGGTCGCAGTGTCGTGTTGGCGCCTGACGGTGGCCGAAACGCCATCTCAAATGCTTACGAATACAGCATGGGGCTCAATTCCCAGCTGCCCGATGTCTATCATAACGAGATCATGATTCGTTACACTCAAGAGTACCTCGCCAACGCGGGTGCAACCGTCTTCATGACACGCGAGCGCTGGTTTGGCACGTCCGACGAGCAGATTCTGGACGATCAATCGCCTGCCAACTGCATCAAAACTGGTGGATGGACTTCCTACGGCATTGGGTTCCTCGGTTACCACTCGTACGTATTTGGCGACCTGAATGCAGAAACAGCCGTCGCAGCTTTCGTGACCACCCTTGCCGCCGATGGGTACTATCCCGTGTACATTCGTGGTTTGGGCGACGGCCAAAACCGTGCCTCTCGCACGCTCATTCGAATCTTCCATTCTGGTGGCACAACTACCCTGTACATGAATCAAAACATGTACAGCAGGCAGTGGATGTATGCCGGTCGCTACTACTTTACCAAGACAGGCTTTCGCGTCGAAGTTTCCAACAAGCTTGACTTTGCCGTCGACGCTGGCAGATGCGTCATTGTGGATGCAGTTCGCGTCGGTTGCGGTTCCCTTGGCGGCTATCCTCGCTTCCACTACGGCACGTCCAGCTTTTTGACCTACATGAACTACACTGTCAGCACGAGCTCGGCAACAGCGATGGCTGATTTCAGCAAGCAGATGATTCAAGGCGATCTGGAAACTGCCAACTGGCAAAATTGGGCGCTTTTCTATCTTGTGAGCACCGCTACTGGCGACTCTTCAATTCGTGGCACCCAGGATTTCAGCTACAGCAACGTAAGTGCATGAAACGGATTGTGTGCTTTTCGCGGTACTCTTTGATTAATGATTTTGCTCGATAGGGTCGTACCTCGTCATACACGGGCATCACCAGTACGGCGATCTACAACTCCTCATTGCAGGCCGCTTCGGATAGCTTCTGCGACGCCATTCATGCGGCCGCAGTTTCAACGGGTCTTGTAGACAAAGCCAAGGACCTTCATCAATGGCCGCCGCTTGATTCGTCCTCACGAATGCCCACCATGATGGCCATTCCTTATTACGCCTCCAACAATGCAGACATGCTACTGGCTCAGTCCGAAGCGGGTCGCGAGAATGTACGTACGCTGTGGTCTTTGCTTTCATGAGCTAGTGCATTGAATCTCACACAAATCTTCTTCCTCCATCAAACAGCTCGGGCGCGCATACTACAAGGGCATTGCCAAGTACTTTTCATCGACCGCCACCATCATTCCGCTCCCTGTCAACTACCTGCACACCATCAACCAAGGCGGCAACGTGGTTCGAGTCTGCTGGCGCCAACCTGACGACACCCAAGAGTCCACTGACGCTGCGACCGCGTTCAAGATTTACCGGTCTACCGATGGACGCGGATGGGACGATGGAGTTATCGTCGCCGCTTTTACGTACCTTAACAGCTTGTGCTACGACGTTACATCTCTGACAGTCGGGCAAGTCTACTTTTTCAAGGTTGCCGGTCTCAATGCAGGAGGCGAAGCGTTGACCAAATGGACGGCAGCGGCGCGCGTGACCGACCCTGCTGTTGGTGTCACTCGTCCGCCAATTGTCATCGTCGACTGCTTTGTCGAAGGCTTTGTGCACACTTCTACCAACATCGAGGGTCGGTACACGCGGGAGTATGTGGTCGAGCACGCCCTGTCGATTGCTGGAGCCGGTTACTCGTTTGATTCTGCATCTGCAGACATCTTTTCTGAGTCCCAATGGGTTACCACCCACCTAGCAATGTACAAGGCGGTTGTCTGGGCGTCGGGTGATACGGCCGCCAACATCAATGTCTTCCCTGCTGTTGCGCAAACCGCCATCAACTCGTGGATTGCAGGTGCCTCCTCTGCAAGCCCTCGCTCGCTTTTCGTCAGTGGCTCGAATGTCGCTGCTGGCCTTAGTGCTGCGGGCAGTACCAGCCTCACCTTCCTCAACAGTCAACTCAAGTCCACCTTTGTCAACGCCAATGCAAACACTTTCGTTGTTCGCCCGAACGCTGGATTCACCATGAGCGGCACTGTGGGCTTCAACAGCATTGTGGTGCTTGGGAACCCATACGCTGTCAGCTCGCCGGATCAGATCGGCACAGCAGGCACAGGAACAGCGGCGCTGTACTACGGCCCTTCGTCTGGGACGAATGTCGCTGGTGTCAGCTCACGCAGCACGGCAGGATATTATGCTTCCTTCTTGCTCGGCTTCCCTTTTGAAACGATCAACTCGCGAGACGAGCGCGACAAGTTGATGGCTTCGATCCTGTCCACCATCATGTTTGCAGCTCCTGACTTGCCCTTGGCGCTGCCGTCCGTCAGCTCGGCTGCCAGCATGGCCACGCAAGCTTCTGTTGCTTCCCGAAGCTCTGCTTCGATTGCAACCACCGTGTCTGCAAGCGTTGCCTCAATTGCTTCGATTGCATCCACAGTCTCCGCCACAGTTGCTTCGGCATCGTCTGCATCAGTTGCCTCAGAATCGTCTGCATCAGTTGCCTCAGAGTCGTCTGCATCAATTGCCTCAGCATCATCAGCGTCAATCGCCTCGGCATCGTCAGCGTCGGAAGCGTCGGAAGCGTCCCGTGCCTCAGCTTCTGCCTCTGTGGCCTCCGAAGCGTCAGCGTCAGCCACTCAAACCCCGCAATACTCGTGCCACGTTGAATGTCAAGGCGGCTGCACTGGCCCAGCGGACACGGAATGCGTCTCCTGCGTGCACTTCAAGTTTGGCGCCCGATGCGTCGCCTCCTGCCCGATCGACTATGCAAGCAAGGCTGATCATGTTTGCGCGCCCGTCCCCAATGATTCCTTGCCCATCGGAGCGATTGCTGGCGGTGCTGGCGGCGGTGTCGTCCTGCTGTTGCTTCTTTTGCTCATCCTGCTTCTTGTCGTTCGTCGCCGTCGCAGCAAACCTGCGCCGAACGCCGAAGCCCCTGCCCCGCAGTCCACGATGCTCTTTGCCAACCCGCTGCTCGATCATGGCGCTGAAATGGATGGCGTCTATGATACGCTGAATGCCCCTGGGCCCGCCAGAATCAGCAGCCCCGACTATGAGAAAGCGATGCTCGCGGCGGAGTACGAGGCACCGCACCATCCTGGTCAGGAACAGGAGAGTACTTACGATACACTCGGAGCCAGCGGAATGGCTCCGTTGCCACCACCGACTGTTAGCGGCATTACGTATGCCAGCATCTCTGCGGCTGATAATTGAAATGAGATCTGATTGTAGGCGTTTTGTCCGGTCGTGGCAGCAAATGATCATGCTTTGGTGCTGTGTGCTTCGACCACATTGTGTGATGCATTGGTCGTGATAAAAATCCAGATCCATCCTACCAAAATGTCCCATTGCATCACAAGAACGTTCAAAGACATTTGTAATAGACACAGAAACCGCACACACACACACGCAGAATCAAACAAGACAAAAAATAGACAGCAAAACTACAAAGATAACAACAAGAATTTTTTAAAAATCAAAAATGGCGCTGCGATGCGATGCGATGCGATCAGCGAACGCGCTTAATCGTTGAGAGCAACACAAGCCACGCTCGACACAACCGCCTCGTTGGCAGTGTTCTGGTTGATGGTGTAACTGTTCGCAACAAAGATTTGCTTCGTTGAGTTACGCACGGTGATGAGCTGCGTGGATTGAAGCGGAATGACTTGAATGAGGTTGCCGTTCACCAACGTGCGAACTTCAATGCTATTCGTTGAAAAGCCCAAGATATTTGGGAAGGCATAAACTGTTCAAACGAAAACATTGGGGTTTGGTGCGGAAGCAAGGAAAACGAAAGACACGTGAGTATTTTCACTTTATCATGGAATGAAAAGCGAGCACCAGAAGCCATTCAACTTACCAACAAAATTGGGCATAATGGTCCACCGAACAATCAAAGATCGAGTGCTTTGGCCTCGCCTGTTGACAAAGACACCCAGGTCTATTGTTCGAGCAAGAGAAACGAAAAAAGCAGAAAGTCAATCAGCGCGAACAATCGACGAGCAACGCAACCAACATCTGTCTTGAGAAACTCACTGTTGTAGCAGACAAAGAACTCATCACTGCCGAGATGCAAAACATCTACCGGCCTCATGTCTGTCCCGGTGGCATGAAGAACATCTACGCTGGCGTCGCTCGTGTCGTCCAGCGAGACAAGCGCAAAGTGGTCGGAGAAGCCGAGCACTGCAGATTGTCCGCTGATGCCAAGCGTGACGCAAGTGTCGGAAAGCCCGATTGCCTAATTTTCGGGTCACAAGAAGCAACGCAAACACATCAAAAGGTCAGCTATTTGCCATCCCAGAGGCATCACCCACTTGCATGACCATTCACAACCAAAAAAAAAAAAAAAAAAGCAATGAAAGCATACCAGTTGTCGCTGGAAAATTCGCGACGATGCCTGCCAGCGATAGACAAGCAGCGTCTTCTTCACAGACACGCAGAGCCGGAAGGACGTGGTGGCGTCCGCGGACGATTCCCAAAACGGGTCGAGCGCGAAAATGTTGCAATTTTTCGTGTCCTCAAGCTGGCACTCAAAGATGGCCGGCTGGGACGAAAGCGCACGCAACGAGACTTGCTTGAGGCCGGCAATGTCGTAGTACACAATGTAGCTGGTGCCCGGCGACGCAGTTGGGGCGGCACAGGCAACCAGCAGGTTGAGCTCTGCAATCACCGAAATCTGCGTAAACGAACGCTCAACATGCAGAGGCAGCTTGAACATTTCGGGTTGGCCGGGATTGGTAGAGCCAGGAATGCTCACAAACGGGACGTAGATGTAAAGACCGGCATCTGTGCCGAGCACCAATGCCTCACCAAGCTTGGCGCCGCACTGAATGACGCGCGGGAGCAGTGCTGCACAGATGGCTGGCTTGTACAGCCGCCCGGATGGGCCAGCTGATGTCGACGACAGTGTCAAGCCAGAAAGATCCGTGTTCGAAGCGGAAGGGGACGTGGATTCCGAGAACGAGGAGCGCTCCATCACGGGACTTGTAGGAGGCGAAATAACGGGTGCCATGTTCGTCACGGAAAGAGACGGGAAGCTTGAGGGAGAAGCAGAAGAACTACCTGCGGCAGGAGTAAAGAATGTCTCGAGCAAGGGCAGCTTGCGTCGCAAACTGCTTCCAGTGGAGCTCGCTTTCGAGTTGTTCAAGCCAGAGCCGACCACAGCTGCCATCGAGGAGAGCGACTTGGAGCTGTTGACGGACACAAGCATACCCGATGAGGTGGCTCGATCTTCAATGCCCCTGATGAGCTGGGTGAGCGTTCGATGCTGGCGCTGCTTGAACGCCGGCGAAGCGAGCGTCGCCGTCTCGCCGTTAATCAACTTGGTGAGCAGGAACTCTCGCAGCTCGACCTCGGAGGTGAAGCGAGGCGGCGATGGCAGCGCGGGTCCGTACGGAGGGACGGATGTTTTGGAGGCAACGTTCAGCAAAAACTCGTACTTGTTGGTCAACTCGTTAAAGACAGGCGAGACCACCGCAAAAACATGCAGGTAGTGCGATGCCACGCTGCCGGGGTCGAAAGCATTGACTTCCATTGACAAGGAGGGTTGAGAGCTAGCTCCTCGTCGAACAGAGGCGGGAGACTGGGCAGGCAAGTCGTCGACGCTCTCGGCAGTGGTCGGAACAACGCCCTCGGGCAGGTCTTCAAACACAATGGCACAAATGTCGTTGCCAATATGACGCTTTCGCTCGAGCTGTTGCTTGTCACCCTCTGCGAACGGCAGAAGGGTCGAGACGTGGAACATGATTTCGTAATTGCTAAACCTCGTGTACACAGAGTGCGTGCCAGTCGTGTTGTCTTTGACGTCAAGCCCAGCGCGGAAGTACGGCCAGCCTTTGAGCTCCACCTTGTCGCCGAGCACCTTCAAAAAGTCGTCAAAGCGCGGCGACCCTTCGCGGTTGGAGAACATGTGCTCCTCGTGAACCTGGTGGGCTTTCTTGTAGAGCACACCAAACTTGAGCTGCCGTGTTGTAATGTAATCTTCGATCTGGAGCAATTCGCGCGAGATGTCTCCGTCAATCTGCTTGAGTTTGCACGAGCTAAGCGACGGCTGAATGGCGCGGAGCAGATGGGTCGGCGTCAGCGACTGACGGTCACGCACGGCAACAGTCAGATGCTCCAGGCCCGTTGTCAGCCACAGAATGAGACGATACTGCGTGTACGGGTTGACTGGCAAACCCTCGGTTTGCGAGGACACGAGCTGCTCGCGGCGGACGGAGAGAACAAATGTACCCACCCCGTCGCTTTGGCTTCCCAGATAGTTTTGGTGTTCGCGTGTATTGAAATGCTTGGCAAACCAGGCCGTGGTCGATTCGTCGTTTTCCACGAGCGGGCGCTGAATGCCGTACTGGGAGTGATTGTTGCCGTCCTCAACGTTGAACTGGTCGCCGGGCGTTATCATGAGACATCCGTTCGAATTGCTGGTGCTGCTGAGTTGGGTGTTGCTAGTACCACCCACGCTGCGCTGTTGCTGGGTTGAAGATGTCGGGAACTTGCGCGTGTACAGCCCAGAAACAGAGCGTTGGCGAGCGGCAATCATGCCATCGTCAGGATCAACATGGTGCTCAGTCAGGTAAAACCGGATGTGATGGCCTTGGTGACGCTGCAGCAACTCGTTGATTCGCTCAGCATCGTCCAAGCGTCGCTCCGACACGTGATCGAGCACCAAATCCAAGCAGAAAATATCTGCAGAAGCGCGAGGAATGTCGTGCTTGCCCACAGCAGCGCGCAGCAAGCTGGCGGCCGTGGTTGTGGCAGAAATCGCAAAGGTGCGGAAGGAGAAATCGCGCCGATAGACCCGCACGGCGGGAGGAGTGTCGGCTCCGCCACCACTGACGCCACTACTGGCTTTCGTTGCAGACGCCGATGCGGCACTCGGGGATGACACTGCAGGGGCTGATTTAGATGTGGAAGCAAGTTCGGTGCCGCGTGCACTTGGGCTGGAGGAAAAAGCCGCAGGCGGAGCTGGGGCCACCAAACGGGCAGCAGCCTCTGCTCCAGCTCGAGTATCTTCAAACACGGGCGGCGGTGGCACCGTGTTGGAATTTCGCTCGCCATTGGTTGCGTTGTCGCTCACGCTGAGATCTTGCGATGAACCGCGGCTTGGAGTGCGCAGGGTCGCAGGCGCGGTTGCGGACGTTGCTGCAGTTGTGAGAGCGGCGAGCTGCGAGACGGGAATGGCACCTAGCACATCTCCGGAAGGCGTCCGCGAGCGAGGACGCGAGACTTCCGCCAACGGGGTACCCGAGGTTGTTCGAGAACGAGGTTGTCGCACCACAGCGGCGCGGATGGGCTCGATGATGACGTCGTCACTCAAGTCGCTCACTGGGGTAAGCGTCATCCTCTTGGCCTTTTTGAGAGCGGCGCGCATGAGCCACGGAATCTCTTCGTCATCCATCTTGCGCGATACGGTGCCAGATGTCTCGACGAGGCAATAGGTCTTCGGATCAATGTCGCCTTTGTTTGCCTTGATCAATGCCAGCTTGACAACGTCTCCGACCGTGTTTACTTTGAGCACCTTGAAAATGGTATAAGGGTGGTCGGGTGTGACGCCATAAATGCAGACAACGCCTTCATCTGGAGTGATGGACAAGGTTCGGGACCGCCCCAGTCGCTGCTGCTGTTGTAGTTGTTGTAGTTGTTGTTGTTGTTGTTGTTGTTGCGGTTGCGCAGAATCTGAAGGCGAAGTGCTGCCTGCTTCCAGAGCAGCTTCGCTCGCGTTCGCATCGTTCGCGTATGCGTCAGAGTCAGAGTCAGCCGCAGATAACACAGAGTCTCGGGGACTGGACGGCGTTTTTGACGAAATGGAAGTGGGCAGGCCGAGGAGAGCGGTTGAGGTCAAGTCGCTCGGCTTGGAGATGGACTCGTCAGAACCCGAATCAGAGTCCAGTGGGCGAATGGCGTCCAAATGTGTGTCATCGACAGTCTTGGAGTGGCGGGCAGCAATCTTGGCAGCGGCTTCGGCACGTTGTGCGGCCTCGTGCTCGTCGACCCGCGCAAGTTGAGCCGGAGTCGCGACAGCAAGCACCTGCCAGGAATCTCGAGGACGCAGGAACAGCCGCTTGCTTCGTTCCAAGCATTGAGCAGCAGTGAGAGGAATTTCGGCATCGTCGATGACGCGTTCGCCATCCATGCCGGTCGTCTCTACCAAACAGTACTTGCTCGGATTGGCTAGGACATTCTTGGCACGAATAAGCGCCAGGCGCACAACATCGCGAGCAGTGCTGATGCTCAGCACGGTAATGTTGCTGATCGCAGTTGGCTCTTTGGAAACGTCGTAGATGCACAGCAAGCTTTCCGCGTCCACAATGGCAGAGATTGCACGTCGTTTCCGGAGCGCGCTCGAGCTGCGAGAAGCGACCGTAACGGCCGGCTCTGGATTGGAACCGCTGCTCGGCTTGGCGCTGCCATCTTGAATGATGACGGGCGCCGTCTCGATCGACACGCGTCGCCGTGGCGATGCAGTCCCGGAAGCAAAGGCAGCCGCGTTTGCGGGCGCCATCATCTCGGAGACGGTGTCGTTCACGGATGCAGCAATGGCTGCAGAGTCATCAGCGCGGGAATCGATCAGGGCAGCAGCAGTAGTCGCGGCGGTTGCCGACACATCTCCTCCACCCAACGCACCGTCTTGTGGCTGTGATTGCGTGTTGTCCTGCTGCTGTAGCGTGCCAGCAGCAGCTTGTAGAGGGATTGCATCAGAAACGGTTGTAGATTCATGAGAAGGAGCAATCGCAGGAGACTCGAGTTGAGAAGCCGAATGTGCACTCGAAACGCGAAGTGGTGGCGGTGGGGGTGCGACGCCGTCTTCGCTGCCAGCGCTGCTCAGCGAAGTAAGAGACGCCGCTTCATTCAATGGAGGGGCGGCAATTGCCTCTGACGAGCTCGCGCGAGAGGCGTGCTCAAGACTATGTGAGCTGGCGTGCAAGCTCCCACGGCTTGCATCGTCCATGCCTTCGCTCGAATCGCTCCCGCCACTGACACTCCCGTCCACGCGCTCATGAGACAAGCTCAGTGGAGGAGTGGACAAGTGGGCAGACTCGGACTGCTGCGGGAAGACAGGCTCGAGTTTCGCCAGCAAGGCATTTGCACGCGCGAGATCTTGCTCCAGCTGGTTGGCTCGATCGGCCAAGAGCAAGCGCTCTCGTGTGGACGCTTCTGCCGCTGCTTCCGCTAGCACGGCACGCGCTTCGAGAGCTGCGATGCGAGCAAGAAACTCGTCCTGCTGCTGGCGAACGCGCTGCTCGGATGCCTCAGCCGCCTCGGCGATGACGGCCGCAGCAGCGTCGCGGGCCGCCCGAATTGTTGCAGCCTCTGCTCCCTTCGATTCCGCCTCGGCCTCCTTCAACTGCAGTTCGAGAGCCGCAACACGTGCAAGGTGCTCGGACTCTTGCTGCCGTGCGCGCGATTGCTGCTGCTCAAACTCGGTTTCTTTCGCTGCACGTTCGACACGGCGTGCCTCGAGCATGAACGCCAATTCTTCACGATGCCGGGCATCCTGCGCTTGAAGCTCACTGGCACGACGCGTGTGGGCTTCCACCAGTTGACGCTTCAAATCTGCAATTTCCTGCTCCAAGTCGCCGTTGTTGGCTCCGGAAATGCTGCTGCTAGTGCTGACACTGTTTCGACGCTGGTCGAGCTGGTCAATCGACGGCATCGAGTTGAGCGACGGGGTGGAACCCAGTGGGAGCTTGAACCCGTCTGACGACGCTGCAGCGTCCGCCATCGCCTGGTGTTGCTCCAGCTGCAAGTCCTTCCAGCGGCGTGCCTCTGTCTTGGCCTCGTCGCGCTCTTGCTCGAGCTCGCGAATCTTCTCCAGTAAATCGGACTCGGTGGTGGACTGCGACCGCCTCCGACCAACCTGGAGCGACAAGGAGGAGTTTTGGGGTGACAGGCCGGGAACCTCATCGGATTGCTCGGCCGTGAGATCGGCAGAATCAGACGCTGGGAAGGTCGATCCGGAGCCTGACGAACTGCGCGAGGCAATCGCTGGTCGCTGGCGGTATCCTGAAAACGAGGCGTTACTCCGTAGGGTTGAACCAGCGGCCGAATTGACCTCAAACGACTGCGAGCGAGTCAGAGAAGCAGATACGCCAGGTGGTGCCGTCATTGGCTTGTTGACAAAGCGCTGGTGCAAGCACGCCACGTAAATCATCATGGATGTCTCGTCAATGTGCGACTCGGACGAGCACACGTCATTTGCGTCCAGCAAATCTGGAACTCCGGCTAGTGTGAGCGCCTCCAATGCAGCCTGCGTGTTTTGTACCTCGTTGGTCTGAACATGAGAGTTGAAGAGAGAGTCAGAGTGAGAAAGTTGAACCGAATCGTCATAAACATGCATGGCAAACAGACAAAAAAACACACACACAAAAGGTAATTCCCAAGAAGCAACGCCGCTCCTACGTACTTTATCCGTTGGATAGTTGTATCCCTCGCAAAATCGACTGGCCAAAGCGCATAGGGGCAAACCGGTGCCAAAGCTGCGACCAAAACAATTGAAACACAGCAATCAGCGCACCTTCACCGCACCTTCACCGCACCTTCACCGCACACAATAGGGTTGGAGATTCAGACAATCCAAAACCCAACCAACAATCACCACCAACAAGACAAGCTGTCTGACGACGCACCTGCGATCAAAGTTGGCAATTTTCAGACTTTCGTCGACCGACTCGGCAACTGATTTGCACCAAGCAAGCAGCACGTATTTTACTCGCGCTCCGGACGGTTCGCCAACGACTACACAACTAAACTGATAGCGCCGCAAGATGGCGTAGACAATGGCCATGACTTGCTTCTTGTTGCCGAGCTCAATGTCTTCAGCGCTCCATTTGAGCGCCGTTTGTGCAACCTGCTGCAGAGTCTGTAAACCCATGTGCAAGTTGTCGATACGATGCCACCGCCGTTCGGGCACCACGTGAAAGGTCAACCGGGTGCCAGTCAGAATGGACAAGAGCCAGCAGATTTTGGTGCCGTCCCTGCGTCCAGTCAACGAATGAGTTGTTGATACAGCAACAGCGGCAGCAGCAGCAGCAGCAACTTGTTAGACACCGAAATGCAGTTTGTGGGGCGTTCCTTACCGGAAGTCAGCGTCCATGTTTCGAACACCATCAACGTCTACCTTCGCGAGGTGGTGGTTAACCCATCGAATAAATGTCTGTGTGTGATGCAGAGCAAGAGGGGAGGTTTTTGTGAGCACCGGCCAAACAAGCATTGACAAACAACAAAAACAAACACAAAAACCTCATAAAATAATAAATAAGAGTAAATAATAACAAATAGAATAAGAATAAATAACCGTAAATAATAAAAGAATAAATAAACAGATGAAGAGTCAATGTTCGGCTCCATCCCCGGGTCCGCCACCGCTCTTCCGTCCCCCCCCCGTCCCGCGAACTCGTCCAACACTGAGCTTCAAGTCAAAGAGAGGAGGACAAGAAGGCGGGGTGTCGAATCAGCGTCACTGAGGTCAATGAAGCGTGAATGGATCAAAAAAAAAAAAAGACAAAGTACATCCATCCCTTCCCATCCTCTCCCCCACACACACACAGCCGAATGGGTCGCACGCAATCACAGCGTCATGTCGTGATGTGCACGCTTTTCCACAGTTGCTCGGTTGGCGGTGGACGGGGAGAACAACGGAAGGAGCGGTTGGACCCTGCAAACTCACTCAACTCACTCCCCTCCCCTCCTCGCGCGGTTTCGCTCTCGTTGTTAGCTGCAGCTGTGGCGGCGGCGGCGGCTTGTTGTGGTTGCTTGCATTTTACCTTCTCTTGAGTGGTCGCTTGCTGGAGTCGCGTCTCTGGCGCAAACCGCTTCCGAGGCGAGCCCGCGACAACGGCGGATGTAGCAGCAGCAGCAGCAGCAGGAAAGCTTGTCGCTGAGCCTGGAGGCGACAGACCCGTCAGCCCCGCCTCGCCGCCATTGCTGAGACTAGTGCTGCTCACGCTGCCAGCGCGCAAGGAGGCCGATGGGACTGCAGCGCTGCCGGTGCTGCTGCTCTCGAGGGCAGACATTGAAGAAAAAAAATCAAACCAGAAAGAAGCTTCTCCAAAACAAAAAAAAACAAAAAAAAATCAAAAAAAAAATCAAAAAAAAAAAAAGCAATACGACGCAAAACAAAACGACTGAGACTTGGTGAGTTTAAGTTAGATACTGAACGAGGTTTGCGGAAGGTGAGTTGAGTGGATGGAAGCACGACTGTTGATGACGACGGTGGTGGTCAACGACGGAGAGAGTTTGAAACAGAAACAATGCTCTGATCTCTTCATCCGTCACACTCTGTGGCAATCTCACCAGCAATGTATTGTAAACAACCAATGGAATAGTTCAATGTGCTCTGCTTTCTATGAAATTGGGATGGCTTTTCGTTTTCAGTTCTTGTTTTTCGCATTTTCCTGACAAACTCAGCTTTCAATGACGTTTGAAGTCGTCGTGTGCGGGTCGTCCAACATGGACTTGATTGCGTATGTCGACCGAATGCCCGCGGTGGGCGAGACCATCCATGGACACACGTTTGCGTCTGGCTTTGGCGGCAAGGGCGCCAACCAGTGTGTCATGGCGGGCAAGCTTGGAGCCAAGGTCGCAATGATCACCAAAGTAACGATTATGGATGAACACCCGCCACGGCCATGGTGATGATGTGATCTCGTGCAACAATCCAGTTGTTTGGAAATTACTGACCTCTCTTGATGGGATGGTCGATTTGGGCAGGTTGGCGAAGACGCGTATGGAACAGCCACGCTCGAAAATTACAAGAAGGTTGGCGTGAACACTGATTTCGTGTTCAAGACGAGTGAAGCTTCAACTGGTGTTGCCCCAATCACTGTTGATGCCAAAGGTAACAGCCATGAGAGAGATGGCACGGCTAAAGTCTCAGTGCTCTGAGATTTTCGTGCATCTGAAACGAACGCGAACAAAATCCCTCACTCTCCGCGCTTTGAATCTCACTCAACAGGCAACAATAGCATCATCATCATTCCAGGAGCGAATGCACTCATCACGCCGGAAGAAGTCTCTGCACCGGCTGTCAAGCAGGCGATTGAAACGGCGGCCGTGCTCGTCACGCAGAACGAAATCAACCACGACGCCACTCTGGAAGCCATGCGAATCGCTCGACACAGCAAGACACTGTGCATTTACAACCCAGCGCCAGCACTTCCAAGCCTGCCTGAGGAGTTCCTTGTGCTGCCCGACATTGTGTGCTTGAACGAGACTGAGGCAGCGCTGTACACGCAAGTCCCGGCCATCAACGACGTCGAAGATGCTCGGCAAGCGTGCAAGAAACTGCTCGCTCGCGGCGCGCGCAGCGTATTGTTGACGATGGGAGCCACTGGCTCTCTCTACGTTGGCAAGGGCGACCAGCTTCACAACGAGCGCAACGACAACGCCGAGATTGTCGACATTTTTGTGCGTGCCCAAAAGGTCGATGCTGTGGACTCTTCTGGCGCTGGCGATTCATTTGTCGGCGCGCTGGCTTACTACCTCGCCCACTACGGAGCGTCAATGTCCTTGAAAACCGCCATCAACCGCGCATCCAGCATTGCCAGCGATTCTGTGCGTCGCAAGGGCACCCAGTCAAGCTACCCAACCCGCGACACGCTTCCTTCCTCTTTATTCGACGCCGACGCAGAGATGAAGTTGTGATTGGCACGTGTACTTGTTCATTTGGGTGGGGGGGGAGTGTTTTTGTTTTTAATATACAACTTTGACGGCATTCAAGTGTTGCTGTGCTCCTCTATCACCGACTTGATTGCTTGTATCATCTCTGGACGTGTGCATGTGCTCAATACTTCGCTGAAAGAGACCTGTTCAAGTAGTTTGGGTTTCAGTAAAACAAAACAGAAAAAAAAAACAGATCGTGCCCTATCTTCTCGCTTGATGATGGAGACCCACCCATTTCCGCGATCGCTCGCGCTGCTCTGGCCATTGATCTAGCACTTGGTCGACCGCTAATTCAAACCAGTGAATGCAGGACGTTGAATTCCCGTTTTTCGACGCAACCTGCACGCTTCCCAGCGAACGCGTAATTCTGCCAACAATGCCCGCTTCTTCGACTACCAAAATACAAATCGCAATAGGAACAAGTGAGCACATTTCAATGCTGAATCTGAGCAACTGAGCCATCATCATTCTGGATTGGGAACCGCCCCCTCTTACTTGCTTCCCGGCGAGCGCTCTCCTCGATGGACTCGTCGCTTTCCCAGCCGCCCTTTGGCAAAATCCACTCTTGCTTGGCTCGTGATGTTACTAGCAGGATCTCACGCTGCCCACCCTCCCCCGCCACGCGGCCAAGATGATGGTGAGGACGAAACATTCGGATTGAGCTCGCCCCAGCCAGCATTGAGCATTGGGTGAAATTGGTTACCGTGTCGCGTCGTGTGATGACGCAGCCAGCAACTTGGCGAACACCGTCGTGGTAGACTTGCATGTCCCGGCCAAGGCGCGAGGTCAGTGGGATGGCAGAAGCGTCCATCAATCAGTATTCGTGCAAAGGGAGATCCGATGAAAGCAACGACTGGAGCAGAATGGAAGAGAACTGTACTGAATAATAATAATAGTGCTTGCAATGGCAACAGCAATAGCTATAGCATGACAGAGAGAGGGAGAGGGAGAGAAATCGTTCACAACAAAGAGCACAAAAGTTTGACTCATTTTTGCTTGGCAGACTTTGGGGAAGCATTTCGCTTCCCGACACCGCCTTTAACACTCGAGCGCTTGCCTGTACTTGGCTTTTTGGCAGCCTGTGCGGGTTGAACCATTCAGATATGAGGAAGACGAGCAGCAGCAGCAGCAAAAGGCAAAGAATGAAATAAAAGAGTTGTCCAACAACGCTCAAACAAGTCCTGCCAAGCATACAATAACCACCACCACCACCACCACCACCACCACTCAAAACTGCTTGCATACCTTGGATGATTTCGAGGCCATATCTTCGGATGTTAGCACCTTGGTGACGGGCTTTTTCTTCTTGCCTTTTGACTTGGCACCTGATTCATCGTCCTCGTCGTCCACACCTCGCCACGAGTCTGTGGCAATCGCATCGTCTTGGAACGCGTCCTGCACACACAACCGGTGTATCATGGTTTATGATGGTTTTGGTCAGTGATACTGCTCGGTTGATCACTCTGAACAGCATCTTCAGCTCAACTTACGGCATCGATTGAGCCCTCAACGACAGTCATGCTGTCCAGCGCATCTCCAAGGCATGTTGTATGAATGACGTTGTTCACGGTGGCATCGATTCGGGCCTCGTTGGGTCCGATCGTCACCAGCATGAATGTATTGCTTGGAACGACTGTGCCCTGGAAGATGAGCCCCTTGAGGTCGAGCACCAACGGCGCCGCGGCATCTTGCGCATTGACGACCAATCGTCCAACCGAGCCCGTGTCGCCGCTGAGGTTCAACTGCGACACAGAGCGTGGCGAGAGTGTGTGAGTTGCAGTTTTTGGCGCCAACTCTCACCCATTCGCGCCAAATCTCAACAAAATCCTGCGCCATCTGCTTGCGCTGCTCCAGAGACGCCCTGAGCACTGTTTGCGCCACAGTCAATGTGTACCTGAGGTTCGGTTGTCTCCATGAGGAAGGCGGTTGCTGGCTTCCCAAGCACGAGCGGGATTGCTCCAACGGGCAGCGCGGCGGTCGCTTTGGCTTTGCTCTGGAGCAGCCCTTCGACCGCCTCGGCTGCCGCTGCAGCCAGATCGAACGTCGCATCAGCAGCATCGGCATCGGCAGCAGCATTCGTATCAGCATTCGTCGACAGATCAATGTCCATTCCTGCACAAAAAAAAAAAAACAAAGAAAGAGCTCAAGAATCAAAAAGTGACAAAAATGGATTGACGGGTTGACCAAATTCAGAAGGCAAAAAGTTCTCAGAAACTCTGGCAACCTGCTAAAACTCAGACTTTTTTCTCCTTTTCAAACACTCTTTGAAAAAATCGAGCGTCACTCTTCTTTCACTGCTCTGCTCGGCGTTGAGTTTTGTATGAAGCGACATCATCATCAAGTAAAAGCTCAAACCTTGCATTGTGAGCTGTGTTGACATTTTGCGATAGAAAAACTCGCTGACTTTTGTTGCTTGACATTCAATTGCTGCTGCTGTATGAACTATTCTTTGTTTTTTTTTCCAAGGCTGCTGCTGCACAGGCGTCGTCGGGAAGCGCGTTTGCCGAACGGGACGAACTCTTCCGGCGAAGCGCTGCGAGCGATGGCTCAGCACACGGCGCGTCGTCATCCTCTTCGTCATCCACGTCGTCAAGGCCGGGCGAGACTGCCATTACAATGATGGAGTATGGCGCGCGCGAGCACGGCAAGCTGGCGCAGGTCGACAGCAGCATTGACGAAATGCTTGGTAATGCCGTCAATATGCTCGACAGCCTCAAGTCACAGCGCGCAACGCTCAAGGCAAGTGACAAATAGGACAATTTGGAATTTGGAATTTGGACTTTTGGAATTGGAAGTGGGGATTTCTCATCGTGGAACGAGACCTTTGGAAACATGCGCAACGTCAAGCTCACACAAATTTTCGGTTTTGAACGAATTTGGTGGGCGGGGAGCAGAGTGCGCATCGACGGGCGCTAGATGTCTTCAATACGCTTGGCTTGTCGAATACTGTGATGCGGTACATTGAAAAGCGGTCGGCCCAGGACTGGTGGATTTTGACGGGAGGCATGATTTTCACAATTGTGTTTATGGTGATGTTCTACCGATGGTGGATGTCATGAGGCGTTGTTGTAGTTTGTTTTGTTGTTCACATCCATTCTTAGTACGATATTGAAGGACGATCTGTTGTGGAGAAATCGAGCGTTGTTTTTTGTTGTTGTTGTTTTTTTTTTTCTCGCTGTACAGAACAGCAAGGTCATTGCATCACAACCGTCGCACCGTCAGGTACGGCGATGCCATGGATAATATCATACTCTCTTCGCAGGTATGCCAAGCAATAGTCGAGTGCCAGGGCCGTGACTGCAAAGGCGTGTGCCAGAGTAACGCCATACGGAAAGTTGGCGTTGCCATTCGAGCCGACCAGCCATTGGTGGAAGAAAACTGGCCCGAGAATGGTGGTGAAGGTCAAAATGCCGCCAACAACGAATCGGAACCGCAAGTCTGTACAAGCCAAGAACAGTTAGTGGAAGCGGTCCAACCAAAAACAGACGGGGGGAAATGCCAACAAACAACCACATCGTTCAACGTGCATGGATTGAGCTGTGGGAACATGCAGAGCATGGAAAACACAAGTGCCAAGTCGCCCATCGAGGGATAGGACTTGAACACGGTAATGATTGTGACGATAGCGAAAGCAAGAAGTGGCGGATGTCGTCTGTTGCACCGGCACACAAAAATTTCAGTGGTGAGCGTTCCAGGAACTACTGCCCACACACACAACCCGTAACAGGGAACATTCACTCGACTCGAAATCATGACAGGACTTGCCGAAACTGCACCGACAAAGGAAACACGTAAATAAACACATGCAGCTGGAAGACCCAAGCGAAAAACGGTCGAAAGTGCATAAAGATCTCGGTGAAAAAGTACCACATCAGTCCGATGTTGGGAGTGAGATCTGGAACTTGGATGATAAAGCCAAAGACCGCATCCACAAAGTCCCAAGAGTCAATGTAGAGGTAGGAAGCCAGCGCCACAACAAGGGTCCAAGCTACGACCCAAAAGCCAAACACGACGACGCGCCATGTTGAAACATCAGATGGAGCCTGCACGCTGTTCACTGCAGCCAGTGCGGACGACGGTGCAGAGTGAAGCTGGAGCACAGGTGGGTGACTAGCGATCGCGAGCGCAAGCGGCGCAACGAGTGCGATCGGATAGAGCGACGAGTATCCAGCCAGCACGCAAAAGAGCGCAGCCAACGCTGAATGCTGCTTGACTGCGAAATACAAGGCAGATGCAATCAAGAATGCGTCCCAGGACGCCGTGGAGTGCGCCAAAAAGCAAAGTATGGAGAATGGGTTGAAGAGCCAGACCAGCAAAGTCGTCTGCGCCGCGTCGTCTGCGTCCTTTTCAGTCACAGCGAACAAAGAGGACGTTGCTGCGGATGCCTCCGGCTTGTTCTGGTTGTTCTTGAGACGCGAGCCATCCAACCACCGCACAGAGTACCGAGCGACTCCAGCGAGCGCCAGTCCGGCCAGCACATCCGACACCAAGGTGAGCAAAATGACGGCCCATCGAACGTGCTGCGTCTCTGGCGCCATGCTGGTGGCAGTAGCAGTGATGGCGGCACTGACTTGTGCGACTGGCCCAACCTTGAGCTGTTTTGACACGGATTGCACGAGCGACAGGACGAGCGGCGCATGGTGCACGAGATCCCCGCTGTACGGCGATGCGCCTTGCTCCATCAAATGCAATCCCTACAACAACATGATTATCAGCACACATCCATGGTCACGGCACGGCACGGAGCGCGATCGAGGAGTTGCAATCTTGTCGCGTACGAACGGTACGTTGTTGTTATTGTTGTTGTTGGTGTCGTACCTCGAGCAAGCGACGATGGCTCGTCAGTGGCGTCACCAGCTCATAGCGCTGAGGGTCTTGGATGTACGACAGCAGTGGACTTGGCAGCAGCATCAGCAGTCCGAGCCGGAGCGCCACTGCAGCGGCAATCCACGACGCGATCTGCATTTCAGGCTGAGCACCAAACAAAACAAGCAAAAAAAAAAAACTCAGACTGAGAACGTCATCAATCAAAGAAGATATAAATCACGTTACTCATATGCTTCAATTCAAAGGTGACGAGTTTAGGAGTTGTAATGGACGTCCAGTCTTCGTTCTGAGCTTGCATTGAAGCAATGGCGACCAGCAGTGCCGTAAACCCAGCGACGAGCGCAACTGCTGCCGATCCGCGACTGCAGCTGGAAGAGCAGCTGGAAGAGTTTGTCGAGACGCTGCGGCAGGTCGGGATTGTCGCCACGTCCTTCCAGTCAGAGAGCCAGCCCGTGCTCAATGCAAAGCTGTACGAAACACCCGGACGATCGCCTTTCCAGTGATCTCACCTTGCTCTGGACCAACCAACCTCTCACAATTGTGTGATGTTTTTTGGTATCGCGCTACGCTACATGGATTGGCTGACCTTCATTTTGATGTTGAACGGTGTTTGTTTTGAGGTTGTAGTGGATCGCTCGTGTCGCAGATGCAGGCATTGGACGAGCTCCGCCAGGCAGTCGATATTGACATCCCGCTGGATTTGCTTCGGTAAAGGAAGCAAGGAGGGGGGAGGGCGATACATTCGAGTTTCAGTTTACCGTTGAGGAGATCAGGATTTTGCTGAATTTCTCAGAAAAAGTGACCGCACTCACACACTCTTTTGCCCGCTTGTGCTCAAATGTCAGCTACGTCGATGACGACATGAATCCGCAAGTGTTTACAAATGATGTGGTGCTCGAGGCGGTACAGAAGAATCGCACTGCCAGCGCAACAGTGGACATGTTTCAGGTTTGTCCTGCTTTGGATCATTTGCCCAACCATTGTACGCTTCGTTGCGCCCTATACTGAGCAATTTTTGTGGTGTTGGAACGCGGGGTTTGACAGAAATTTAAAACGCTTCTCGAGAGCGAGTTGGCAACCACAATGCCTGAAGACTTTGCATTGTACCAACAGCAAATATCTGCCGCTTCTGCCTTGCCCTCGCCATCGCAAACGGCGGACGCACTGAATGGATCGAACAACAATGGCAACAACGTAGTATCAATAGGGGCGCAAATGGAGGTTGATCCGCCTGCAACGCAAGACAATGCATTCCTATAGTTGTGAAAATGGAAAAAAAAAAAAAAAAAAATACAATAGTTACCAGCAACAACAGACGACACTCAAAACAAACAAACAAACAAACAAACAAACAACAAGAAAAAACGAAACAAAAAATATAGGCATCCTTTTAAGCAGCCGTGTGGCGCAGAGCGAACGTGGCGTTTGGGTGCTTCTTGACGAGCTCAAAGACATTCTCATTGAAATTGACTAAACGGGTCGAACCTGTTCAAACGAGCAATCACACATTCAAGATGAGCGAGATGCCGCACAAACCATCCAAAAAATCCATCGTTGGAACAGGCACGTACTTTCAGACTCCTTCATGTGCAGAGCAGTCACTTCCGACTTCTTGGCGGTTTCAGCCACGAGCGAATTGATGAGATCAAGCGCAAGTGTCTTTTCGTACACAACGACGGCCTTGCGGTGGACGACGGAGAGAGAGTTGGGCGGCATTTCCACTCGCATAATGACAACGGAATCCTACAGCAAGCAAAAAACAAAATTGGGATGGTAACTCGTTGTCAGTGAGTGAGCTGCTCATATTGCGCCTTTTTGCCACGACGAAAAGCCTTGCTTTTTTTTTGCTCGGCACTTACATCTTCAATTCCATCCAGTTTTTTGACATCTTTGGATGATGACAGCACGTAGGGCGTGCCTGCATGAGGCGTCACGGTCGAAACAGACTGGAAGCTCGGGAGATCATTGTTGGATGATGATGTGCTGTCCGACGAGTTTCCCTCAAAACTAGATGTCAGCCACTTGACGAGGTCTTTCCGCTTGGATTGGGTGCCGCTTTTGCTAAAGAGATTCAAGGTTCGGTACTTTTTCTCTTTCTGGGCGGGCACGGCAGGCGACAGCTTTTGCTGTTGGTCGAGAAACTCGACTTGCGTCAAAATGCTTGCAGAAACCTGCGCAAGTGAACAGAGTACAACCCCGGACCAGAGTAGAGAGTGAGCACACATACATTTTCCAAGAACTCAGGATGGAATGCAACACAACAAAGCAGACCATTTTCGCTTACCGTAAAGAGTTGCTCGTGATTTTCAATCATGCAACGGAATGCGGCGGCAGTGGCCACTTGCAACTCTCGCTCCTTGCCAAGATGCTCCTTGGGCTTTTGAGCCCGGAAGACGTTCGGAGCAAAAATAAGCGCCAAGTTGGATGTATTCATCTTGTTTGTCTCGGAAAACGTTGCGACGTGAGCAAGGAAGGGCAGGATAAGGCGAAGCACGGCGGTGTGTGAATTTGGTAATAGGAGCATGAGTAATTGCAGCGATTCGATTCGCAGTTGCTTGTCCCGAAGAGCTGCAGACCAAAGGAAAAACCACATCGTCAAGAATAAAATCAGAAACAAGCAAGCAAACAAACAAAAAAACCAACAAACAAACAACCAAACAACAAATCTCACCTTGCGTCGCAATAAACGTGTCGGAAAACTTTTCCGTCAATAGAGGCTCGGGCAGCTCGCGCAAGAACTGTTTGAGAATGGCAGCCACGTCGTTGGGGTGCACAGCCTCCAGCTCGTACAAGTCCACATCGCCACGAGAAGCTTCGCAGTGATCGCGGAGAATACGGATGCGATTGGCCGACCCGGCCTTGCGGAACAAGCCTTCCGAGGTCATTGCCATGTCCATGAGATACTCAAACGTTCGCACCAGGAAGATGGGCGCGATTCGGTAATCATTCTTGTCGCGCTCAACCTTGGATTTTTCCTTGTCGAGGACCGTGTCGAGAGGAATGCCAAAAACGCACTGCGCAGGTTGCGAGTCACGGCGCCCGTTGACAACGGCAGCCGTCGCTTGCGCAAAGGCTGCGCGGAAGGTTGATCGTGCGTGCTTTGAGTGCGAAGCCTTGCTTCGGATCGGCATGGTACCAACGTGGCGCTCCATGATTTCGGTGAGTTGGAGCAGAGCGACTGGGCGAGCCTTGATGAGTTGCTCGTTGGTCAATTCCGACAAGTCTTTCGGGAGAAGCTTTTGCTCACTAATAGCCGCGTCTACTGTTGGTGTGCGCCGAAGCGTGTGTTTTGTAAATGCTGCAGGACCTTCCATTTCCGGCACTGCGTTGACAGACTCTGAGGACTGGTGCTCGGGCGAATCGGAAGAAGCCAACGAAACAGAGTCGGCTGCAGGAACCGCAAGTCCCTTCACGTCGTGACTGCTACTGCTGTTTCGAATGTGTTTGCCATGGCCGCTAGCGCCGCTGCCGCTGTTGTTGCTGCCGGTGCTGGCTGGCACAGTGAGGCTAAGAATGGAAGAAGAGGAGGACATTGAGCCAGGCGATGCGCTCGTGTTTTGGCCAATTTCCGACGACACGGATCTCCGACTGCTGGGGCCGTCGCCAACACTGAGTGGCCGATTGCTGTTGTCTCGCGATGCGGCAATGTTGGCAAGCGCGGACAAGATCCGCTCGCGGTCCTGGCCGCCCCCAAGCGTCTCTAGCATGGTTGAATTCACCGACTGCGAGCGGCTGGACTTTCCAGACGCAGGTGCGCTCGAGTCCGAGTAGGCCGACCCCGGTCGAGATGTGGAATGACGCGATCGACGAGCGATAATTGTGTTGAGTTGCAGCACTCGTCGTCTCAACGCGTCAAACTGCGTTGCAGTGAGGCGATCTTTGAGTGCGAGGATGCGAGCGTCTTCGACCACATGTCCGGCTGTTTGTTTGAAGGTCGAGCAGAACAGAGAGATTGATGAGATTTCAGAGAAAGAGGGGCAATGGGTTGAAAGATCGAAAGAGCAGCACTTCTTTGGCTTTGACATTTCAGCGTACCTCGAAGGACTTCCACAAGGTCGGGATATCCGACATCCGTTAGCCAGTCCAACAGTTCATCAAACTCTGATTGTTCCGCTGATGACAAGGAGAAGGAGAAGAAGGGAAGGGTGAGTCCAAATGGCTCGACGGTAGTCACACAACGGGGAGCAACCCACACCACACCACAGCAGCAATGCGCACCTTCGTCGGACTTGTCCAGCGTACTGATCAGTGCCTGCTGATCTTCTAATGAGAGGCTATTCAACAATGTTTCGGCATCTCGCAAGTCCATGTAGAGCTCGTCCTCGCCAATCTCGCTGGTCGAGTCGCCCTCCGCGGTGCTGCGGCGCTTCCACATTGGCGTTTTTTTTCCTTGAGTGGTCTTGGCAAGCTAGCTTTTGTGTGTGGTTGCTTTTTGTTTCCGCGAGCGAGTCACCAAGCCTGTCCTGCAGCAACAAAACACGCAAAGTGTAAGCACGAGTCCGTCAAAATTGGCGTTATCGTGATAATGTTGTTGTTGTTGTTGTTGGTTGCGCAATATTTGTGCTGAATGTTGAATGGTGAATGTTCGAGCGATGCAAATCAAAAGCAAAGTGAAATGGAAAAAGCAAAAAAAAAAAAAAAAAAAAAAAAAAAAAAAAAAATTCAAGAACTGTTTATTTCAAAGGCTTCAGGAATGCCTTTTTTTTTTTTTTTTTTTTTTTTTTTTTTTTTTTTTGCTCCCTTTGAAACGTCGCTTCTTCTTCTTCATCTTCTTGTTGTTGTTGCTGCTCTCGCTCTTCTTCTTTTTCTTGTTGTGTCAGAGTGATGAAGCAGCCCCGACCGAGACGATCAGGCAGCTTTTGACGAGCCTTTGTTGGCTGTTCGTTGGATCTTGCAACCGACAAAAAAAAAAATAAAAAATTTGAAAAAATATTACAAAAAAAAAAAGGGTGGATCGAAGCCGAAGAAGGGCAGCGTCAGGGCCATTCAGTGCTCCGACACAGTCTGACGGTTGCTCGTTGAGTGGCTGCAAGCGCTGGTCGGTTGTGCAGCAGCGATCCATCAAAACGACGAAGGGGAACCGTCGAAAGAGAAATGTTGAAAAAAAAAAAGAAAGAAAAAAAAACGACGAAGACCGCAGCGCGTTCGTCCCCCTCCCCCTTCTCCGATTGGCGCTGGTCGTGCGCACCCTCCGCTCTCACATACACATACACACACTTTGCTGCGTCTGTAGCACTGCAGCGAGTGTGGAATGAGGTGAGGAAGCCCCGCACAACAAAAGACAAACTAGCCCTCCCATTCCCAAACCGCACTCGGGCTGCTTGCTGTTGACTGCATCACAACGCAAGAAGGACGCATCGAAGCGCAGTGCTCGGCTCGCGACCAAGAAGATGCAGCGAGATGACGACGGCGGAGGAGCGGGAGGCGCACGCTGGACCCCATGCCTGGTCGAGCGTCGTCGCGGTCGAAACCCCATTGAATTGTTGGAGTTGACTCAGTAGGCCGTTTTGATTGTGGCTTACCAACGCTTTTTTTTCTACCAAAATGAAGAAAAACAGAGTGGGGGCTTTTTTTTTTTTTTTTTTTTCCTTTTGTTTGGTTTGTTTGCTTGTTTGTTAGATTGTTTGTTTGATCGAGTTCTGAGACAGTGAGATGATAGAAAACCAAACTAAATCAAAAGGGGCAGCAACAATAACAACAACCACTAGAAACGCTACTTCACACAGCTCGCCTTCTGATCCCAACTTCTCATCGCTTCCGAGATAAAGGCATACGAAAGATAGGCGGCACTGTTTATTTGGGATCTGTTACAATAAGCCCGAAGGGCAACCGTGTGAAGTACGAAGCGTAGCTGGTGCCCTCAGCAACAACACAAACAACAACGACAACAAACATCATCAGCAACAGCAGCAACAGCCGCAACAAAAACAAAACACTCACACACACACTCACACACACGCACAAGCTACAGCAATCAAGCTGCAGCGAAACGACATAACTGAAACAAATACAAAGTAATGGAAGCAAAAAAACCAACGGCAGAAATGGGGAAAGCAGACCAGCACGACAAACTTGGCGCACTGAAGTGGCAGCGAGACAGGCAATGCTACTCAATCCAAACAGTACCAAGCAGCCGTGCTTTTGGCACACCGTGCAGCACTAGATCGACAGCAAAGGTCGCCTTCTCGCTGTCACAGGCCTCGGACAGCGAGATGGCAGCCTCGCCAAGGCTGGAACGTGACTTGCCTTCCTCGCGTGCACTGACGAGAATGTGGCAGTCCCGCAGATACTCGAACGAGAAGCCCTTGACCTTGAGCGAAATTTTGTCCTTCCACTTGGGATTGGGCATGCGCTCTGCGCCAGTGTCGTCAGTGACGAGGGTGGCGTGCGCAAAGTTGAAGCAGGCATGCAGCAGGGCTTGGGCGTCCGGCGCGCTGTTTTCGGGAATGGCCAGGTCCTCCGTTCGCAAGTCGCCCAAGTGCAAAACGTGTGTCGTGTTCAGGGGCGTGAAGGGCGCGACGATATCGAGACGGAAGCAGCTCATCACGGGGACGTGGTCACTGGTGTGAATGTCGAACGCTCCGTCATAAAGGCCCTCGGCCAGCTCCAACCCTGGAAGCGTCTTGTAGAGGACGCGGTCGCAGTACGACGTGATACGGCCAAAGTCGTACTCTTCCTTGTTCTTCTTGAACTTGAAGGTGGGTGCGAACGTGATGGGCGCCTCGCGGTAGTTGTAAAACCCTTGCCGAGATTGCTTGGACTTGGCCAGCTGGTCGCGCTCGAGCATGGCGGCATAGTTTTTGGCGGCAAGCATGGCCTTGACCTCCTCGAGCGGTGCTTCCACGCGATAGTTGAGATCTCCAAACCAGAAAACGTACGGGTACTGCGTGGTCGCGCCAAAGCCGTCGATACCGTTCTTGATGCCGGCATTGATGGCCCGCGCGTCCGCGTTGCGTCGTTCGTAGTTTTCGTCGTGTGCGTTGAGATGACAGTTGACAAAGCAAAGCTGGGTCTCGCCGAATTTGAACGAGGCGCACAGCCCGCCCTTGTTACCAGACAACCCGCCCAACCGGCCCGTGGTGCGCAGAGACTTTTCCACGTTGGAAATGAGCGGCAGATGCTCCTTTCGCACGTGTACGCTCAATCGGATTTCGCCGCTCCGGGCCTTGCCGTCTCGCACAGCGTCGAGGAAGGATTGCTCGCTCTTGTACGTGTCGACAGTCATTGGTGTGATGGAAATGTTGGCAACCGATGTGTAGCGGTCGCCCAGCGTCTTGGCCACCGAACCAAACCAGTCATCCTCGCAAGATTCATACTCTGGTCGTGGATCGTACTGGCACTCTTGCACACCGACAGCAATGACGTCGTGGTTGTCGGTCGGTCGCAGCCAGGACGCCATGCTGCTCGGCGGTGGTGTGTTGCCCACATTCCAGCTGCCCACCAAGACGGAAATGCTCTGCTTGACTGGCGCCGAATCGGGATCGGACAGCTGGTCTGAGCGTTTGGCCGAGCGCGTGAATAGGCTCTTGTTGAGCGATTGGAATAGGGATCGCTTTGCTGTCCGTGGCGACGAGGATCCCGCGGCGTCACTCATGCTCACCAGAGAACTTGATCCGAATAATAGAGTCGGTTGATTGGTTATGTTGTGGGTGGCTTTTTGAGACGAAAAGATCTCTCTAGATCTCGCACACGCGAAAATTTGCTGCGGATCTGAGTTGGGTGCGGTTTGTCACCAAAAAATCAAACAAAGCAAGCGTGAAGCAAAGCGGCAAACGGGTGAGCGGGGTTGGTGTTGCTTCTTCCCAAGCGGTGCTCGAGTGAAATCGTCGTTCGAGTAGTCTGACTCCTGTGGTGCGGCAGCAACAGAAGGAAAGCGGAGCATATGTGAGCAAAGTGGTTGGCATGAGAGTCGAACGCGTTTTTTGTTCGCTCGTTGACCCGCGGTTTTCAATATGAGGTGGTTGGGCGTTGCATCCATGATTCAATGCATGCGTGGGTTGGCTTGCTCGACGTTTGGCAGCGTGCGAGCAAGCCAAGCACGTTAGCGGAATAGTGATCAAGAACTGCACTACAGCGTCCAGAATGCAATGGTACAGCCACTGTGTCCCGCTTTCTCGCGCTTGCTCGCTTTGCAAGTCTGCAATTCAATCAAACCTGCATCGCTTGCATCGCTCGTGACCAAGCGTGCTTCACTCAGAGAAGAGGCGGGGGGGGGGCCGCGACTCGCCCTTTTGCATTGAAATTTCAAAAACCACAGCTTCGTTGAAGACAGCGACACACCAACCCCCAGCGACAAACGGTCTGGCTTGCTTGGAACACGGACGATTCGGGGTGGGGGGTTCCCACTCGGCATGTAGGGTGGGCGAGTGGCGCAACTCCCAGCCAGCCACGCCACAACGAGTTAGCATCATGGCAAAAAAAAAAAAAAAAAAAAAAAAAAAAAAAAAAAAAAAAAAAAAAAAAAAAAAAACGAAAATATAAAAAATCGGAAAATAAAAAAATTTGAATAAAAATTCATATCGTCGGGCAGTTTTTCGGCGTTTGGTGTGTGCTATGGTTGGCGAGACGCGGGCAGCTATCAGCAACAGCAGCAAGGCTTGAGGAGGAATGATGAGGGAGATCAGCGATCGCGCAGCAGTCATAGCGGGGGAGAAAACATGCAGGGGAAACGGCTGAAGATTGAACAATCCAAACCGCCCATTCTCCCCTGCACGACTGGCCTCCACCACCACCCCCCACAATGCTCTGCACGTTGAGCCTGCAGGCGCAATCTCGTGTGGTCGTTGTGCACAATCTCAGAGTCTCGACGGGAGTGCTGCTGGCATCCTCGCATGTGGTCGAAATGCAGGATCATTCTCGCTTTTTTTTTATTTTCTTTTTTGTTTTTTTGCTTTTTTCGACTTTCACTCACTTTGCGATGGCTCACTTTGAGGGATGGAAGACTGGGACTAAAGTAGCCCTAACGTGCAAAAATCCGAATCAGTTGTAGATCAGCAGAGTACAATACACAGGATCAAGCACTCGTGCGTGATTCAATCCGAAAGAGATTCTTGACAACACCGGCCGATTCTGAAGCAAGCTCTCAGAACTGCGCGAGTCGCGCACCTCGATGAAATCGTACATGCTCTGTGCCATCCAGTTGTGAATCAGAGTATGAAAATCAATGGACTGTCAGAGAGAGAAAGAGAGCATTGCTGATTGATGGCAATCGCTGCAGCAAAGATTCGGCACCACGGGCCAAACGATTCTCAACCAGCTGTCAGGTGCAATGACTTGTTGATTCAAACACAAAAACTAGCGTTTTTACCAACGTTACAATGGCACCAGTTTGTGTGTGTGGGAACGACCGCGCAGTCCTCAAATGCTGCAATCTGCCGCAAATTGGTTGTTTGGAGCCGCGATTGCACTCTCGCTCCTTGCGCTGGTGGACGCCAAACCATGGCCGCGGGCACCCGCCTCAGCCTCGTACATTGATCAGTACCCGAGCTCGACGACACCCATCACGCTCCCTGTTCGAAGCAAGGTCGGACATAGCAGCAGAATCTTGGATCCGCTGATTGCTTTTTCAAATTGCTCACCATTTGGCATCTACTTTCATCCCTCTCTTCGATGCTTCGTGGACGACTCTGCTCGTGCGTTTTCAACCTACCTGACTTGACAGAGCTTCAACATTGTCGATTACGGTGCGGTGGGCGATAACGTGACTGTCAACACGGCCGTCTTCAACAAGATTGTCGCGCTCGTCGCCGCCAATGGCGATGGTGAGATTTACATTCCGCCAGGAATCTTCGTGTCTGGCACGTTCAACTTGACGTCTCATGTGACCCTCCGCCTGGCGAGCGGCGCTGTACTTGCCGGAAGTCCCAATTTCGCCGACCACGAGATTATTCCCGCGCTGCCGAGCTATGGCCGAGGTCGCGAAACCGAATCCATCTTCCGGTATTCGTCGCTCGTCCATGGCGAGAACTTGGATGATGTCGTCATTACAAGCGACAACGGGCAGGGCGTCATTGACGGAAACGGGATGGGCTGGTGGGCTGCGCACCGTGCCTCCAACTTGACGTACACGCGCGGACACCTCGTTGAGCTCATGTACACGACCGATATCATGCTGGTCAACGTTGAGTTGCGCAACTCGCCGTTCTGGACCATTCATCCCTACTCGTCCACGAACGTCCTCGTTTCCAACGTGACCATCAACAATCCCCTCGACTCGCCAAACACAGATGGCTGCGATCCAGACTCTTGCAACCAAGTCGTTATCCAGAACTGCGTGTTTACTGTGGGCGATGTAAGTGCGGTACCGTGCGTGCTCTCTGTTTTGTTTCTCGACGAAAATGGCTCACCACCAAGTCTTGTGTGTGTGCGGCCAGGACTGTATTGCCGTCAAGAGCGGGTGGGACAATCCCGGCATCCAGTACGGCGTCCCCACAACAGACGTGGTCATTCGCAACATGACCATGCACACGCCGACATCTGCAGCCATCGCTATCGGATCGGAAATGTCTGGAGGCGTGTCCAATCTTCTCGCACAGGACATTCGCGCCTTCAACTGCTCTTCTGGCATTCGTCTCAAGTCTGCACGCGGGCGTGGCGGCTATCTCCGCAACTTGACCTTTGATGGAGTGACCCTGAACGACGTCAAGACGGCCTTGTCCATCAACGACTTTTACGGCCAGCACGAAAGCATCTTTTACGACCCGTTGGCGGTGCCAATCATTGATTCCATCTTCATGTCCAATATTGTTGGAACAGCCATCACCATTCCAGGTGACTTTCAAGGCTTGTTTGATGCAAAAATCACCAATGTGGCCATTTCCAATGTTTCGCTCGCGGTTGTTGGGAGCGGCTCCTATACTTGCTCTTATGCGACGGGAACGCAACATGCGGTTGTGCCCGTGCTGTGCGATGCTTTTGCTCGTGTTTAGTGTTCAGCATGCTCAGCGTGTCCAAAAGGGGAAAAAAAGCGAAAGGCGAAAAGACAATCGCTTGCTCCACTCCCTCTAACAATACAGCCTCTCGCAAGCAGTTTCAATTGAGCAAATCGCAGCAATTCTAGTCGAGCAAATCGCAGCAATTCTAGTCAAGAAGCAGCAGTTGGCATCACTGCCGACCGTTGCGGGCTGTGCACTGCGCGAGCTCCTTCGCTCTATGTTTTTGGTCCATGCGAAGCGTCAACCAGCCGTTCGTGAACATGCAGTACTGATTTTGGGGGGTTGGTGGTCGCAGAAACGCAGTAATTTGAGTTCTGAAATCGAAACGCTTCGTTTTGCGTCTTGTTCCAATTCTCGAGCCCAGCACCCACAGTCACATATCAACCAAACACCCAAGTAATGTATTTCAGTTACGGCCATATCTGGTGGAATGCACCGCATCCCGTTCCGCTCTGCGAAGTTAAACCACCATGAGAGTAGTTAGTACTGCGGTGGGAGACCACGCGGGAATACTGCTTGTTGTAACTCCTTTTTTTTTTGGTTTGCTACTTTTTTTTTTTTTCTTTTTTTTTTTCCCCCCAGTCTCTTCGAGTCGTACTTGCCTTCCCGAACATGCGCAAGTCTGCATGCCTCAGCACAATTCGGGTGGCGTAATCCTGTTGACGATGGACCGGTCGACCCAACCCAAATGCGATTCGGAGCGCAGCATCGACTTTTTTCAAAGTGTCCTTTCGCGCGCTCGTTTGCATCGATACTCTGCGAGATTCAGCGCAATCTGGTGGTTGTTTTATTGCGAAATATGATTGTTTTGCGTTTTCTAGTACTGGGTTGTGTTTTGGGATCACTCAAGGAGTGGAAAGAGCGTTGCAAACAAATGCCAGCGATAGAAACGTCCATATCTGGGGTCTGAAGCTAGTACTCGGCACCATGTTTACAGGCTCTGCGGGTCCTGACATAGATTGTGAGACTCCGATTCCCACGGGTTGGGGCTTAGAGCTATTGGCCAGGTAACGTCGATTGATTGATACAAAATGCGCAATGACAACTATCCAAAAGCATCCAAATACACCAGAATATGCTAAATCCTCATTAACTACCACCGGCTAACCTCGCCGGCTGGACGGACGCAAACTCGGGTCCTGACATAGATCGCATTGTGTCTATCTTGTAGTGTTATTGGAGTGCTTGTAGCGCGGATGGTCGTTTGGGGAAACTTGCCAACTGCGCGCTGCGATGTAATTCCTCAGTCTTACCAAATCGAACCGGGGGGGGGGGACTACTACGCTACGCTTGTAGTGCACATGGTCGCGCTTCGCGCTCTAGAAACAACTCCCAAATAAACAGTGCTACCTATTCTAATAATATACTGTATTTTTGTGTCGGGGTATCAAAGACAAGACAGTGACACAGGCACTCACGCACTCACACACCCAGGCAAAGCAAGTCGTCCGCTCAACGAGCATCGAGAATGCCGATAAACTTTACAATTGGCTTTTATTCTCAGAGTGACGTCTTCAAGATACAATACAGATGCTGAGAACGCATTGCAACACACGAAAGCAGAGGGTGAACGCTTGAAGATGGCTCAAGAAGCCAGAAACAAGGGACGGCCCTACGGTCTCGTGCAGTTCAACAGGGCAGCCACGGAGCGCTGAACGTGGCGCGAGTGAAGGGTGTACGTGTCGTTGGGATGGTAAGCGAGAATGTTGATGTTGGTGGCGAGGAGCTTTTTGGTGAGGTCAATTCCCAGGGTCTTCTCCAAGCTTGGCCGTCTCAAAGAGCCGTGAGTCAGATCGCAGAGTGTCTTGTGAACGACAGAAGTTGCGTTGTACAGTGCCAAATCGTCAATCAGGCGCTGGAGGGAGCTTTCAGTACGCGAGGAGAACTCTTCAAAGATCTGTTCCACAGTCTTGAACTGAAGCTCAAACACCAGGCTGTTGAGCAGAACAAAACGCCCGCCAGCAATCTTAGCAACGGCGCGTTTTGCCGCATCCTCGTTGACGCCACGATGCAGCAGAAAATCGACAGCTTGTTCGTCGGTGATATCACTCACTTCGGCAATGCGAGCACGAGTCATTGCTGACGATGCCTTGAGCTCAGGCAGATTCGAACCATCGCAGGTGACGAGAACAACATTGAGCAGCTGCTCGTCAGCAGCCGCCTTGGCAAAATCTTGAATCGCATGCAACAGTGCTGGACCCTGCTGGGCGATCTCGTCCACGGCGTCGATGACGAGCGTAGCAGGGTGACCGTGCTTGGTCTTGAACTGTTGCGCAACGTCCCTCAGAATGAGACTGAGCAACACCCAGCTCCTGAAGGGTTCTGCTGCCGATGTTACTTCATCCAGTTCAACACCACGGTCTTTCAAATAGCCTTCTGTGAACTGGTTGGGCTCGAACGCGAGAGACCGTGCCAGTAGACCCGGCATCGAGACTAACACCTCGCTTTTGACGATGTGGTAGACAATGCCAGTGCTGTTGGCTCGGATGGCGTTGTGGACGGCGGTGGTCTTGCCGCAGCCTACTTCGCCAATGACGACCGTGTAGTCCTTCAACCGCGCGGGGCGCAGCACCTTTTGAAGCATCGCAATAGCATCTGGACGACTGACGTGGTATTTCTCGAAACGTGGGATCACGGAGCCGGCCTCGAAGCGAGCGAGCATGCGAGCGAGAACGACTTCGGGCGAGTGGGTCTTGGCGATCGTGTTCTTGTCCTCCAGCACGTGCCGAGCAACAAAAGCCGCCACAACCAAAACGATGAATGTGGTGGAGACCGCCTTGGCGACCGCGCCGCCGATGAAACCGAACACACCCCGAAAAGCTGGCTGCTGCTGAGCCGGGGCCGCCGCTGGAGCCGCCGCTGGAGCCGCAGCCGACATCGGGATAAACAGAAAACAAAACAAAAAACTGCGCTCAGCGTTGACAATCCATTGTCAACCCGCTATGAGTTGAATGATTGTATCATTGTTCTTCCAAGACGGTCCTGATGATGCTGCATTGTGCCGCTTTTCAAAGCGGTCTGAGTGTTCCAACGAGACAGGTGGCTTTTTCCACCAGAGCCCATTGGCGATATGATGAGCATTGGGACGTTGAGGTCGATTGACTTGATAATAATGTCTCTCTTTTCGCTATCAGCAAGGTCGAGGTGCTTGTGGGATTGGCGGTCATTATTTGTTGGCAAGATACATTTAATACATTATTCGTATTTCTTCAGGCGGTTTCAAAATTTCCAATTCCACTAATATAAAAGCGCTCGCCTGTGGGTGGGTGGCACTGAAAGGGAGTATGGGGGTTGTATGGGAGTTGTTAAAAACAGTGCTACCTCGGATAAGGATATATTATAGAATAGGTAGCACTGTTTATTTGGGAGTTGTTACTAGAGCGCGAAGCGCCCTACAAGCGTAGCGTTGTAGTCCCCACACCCAGCCGTTTCCACTCGGACTGGCACCAGCAAGTTGCATTTTTTTGCACAGCTACCGAAAAGTGAATTACCAAATGTACCGACTCATCCACTCACGGAAGCCAGGCAAGCTTCCGGCAAAAAAAAAAAAAAAAAAAAAAGCAACCAAAAAATTACCAAACTCCGAATTCAGCCTTCTCGCACTCTTTCCTTCCTGCATTCACCATGTTCAGGTACGCAAACATTCTTTTTTTTTTTTTCCCCCGTTCGCCCTGTTGTTATCAGCGGCTTTTTTCTGGCTCCAACATTGTCTGCCTTCGCTCTGTGTCTTCTGCGACTTGCTGATGCTGCTGCGAGCTGAGCATCTCGACTGAGCTGCGTGAAGATGTGCCGAAATCACCAACTGACCCTTTTTTTTTTTTTTTTTTTTTTTTTTGGCAATCACAGTGCTGTCGGTCTGATTACTTGTACGCTGCCATTGCCACTCGGATCGATCCGTGCTGCTGCTACCACACACACACACACACACACACACACACACACACAGGCTCCTCTACACACTCCATCCATCAGCTCTGTTTTTCCCGCCTCTCCCCGACTCTAGTGCCCGAGTATAGAAATGGGAGCGTGGCGTCTGTGTTTTTTTTTTTTTTCCCCGTTCTCATGATCGCCCCGCATCAGCTTCGATTGTCTCTCCTTGTTGCGCTCTCCTTCCCCAGGCGTTTCCGCGTCTCTCTCTGGATGTGTTGAACGCCGCCTCCCCATCGCGTGTGGGCAGGTGCAGCATCCATCGGCGCACACCAAAACCACCATGCTTTTTTTTTTTTTGACTTTTCAAAAAGTCACGGTCGCCGTTTTTTTTTTATTATTTTTTATTATTTTTTATTATTTTTTTTTCCCTCCTCATCTGCATTTGGATCTCAGATCTCGATGCGAACGACTGCGTATTTGTGCCATCGGATGCGAACGACCTTGTCACGTGCAATCAGCTTGGAACAGATCTGCCATCGTGCGTGTCGCTCCGAGCAGAGGGACGCTTCCTGGGGCAGTGAAACAACGCACGCCTGACTGAAGAAGAACACGAAAACCAAAAAAAAAAAAAAAAAAAAAGAAAAAAAAAAAGCTTGTTTCACTTTGCGCACAGTTTGCAAGCCTTCCCCTTCCTCTTTCAACACTCCAACACACGACTCATTCACTCGAAACATCCCTTCTTGCCTCCTTATTCCTCGCGCTCACTCGAAACATCCCGCACCTTGTCGAAAAAAAAAAACAACAACCAACAAAACAGCCAAGAACCTCCATCGTACTGCCTACACGGCTACCATCACAGCTCGCCGCCTGTATGCGCTGCCTGCCAACGCCATCAACGGCGCTGCGCTGAACAAGCACCCCAAGCTGAAGCAGTGGGTCGAGGACAAGGCCAAGTTCTTCAAGGCCGACAACGTGCACGTCATTTCCGGCACTGAGGCCGAGAACAAGGATTTGATCAAAATCCTCGAAAAGTCGGGCACCATCGAGCAGCTCAACCCCAAGCTCCGCCCCAACAGCTTCCTTGCGCGCACCGACCCCAAGGACGTTGCTCGCGCTGAGGACTCGACCTTCATTTGCTCCAAGGACAAGAAGGACGCCGGCCCGACCAACAACTGGGTCAACCCCTCCGAGATGCGCCAGCGCCTCGACAAGCTGTTCGCCGGCACCATGCGCGGCCGCACCATGTACGTCATCCCGTACTCGATGGGCCCCATCGGCTCGCCCATCTCCCGCATTGGTGTTGAGGTCACCGACTCGCCCTACGTGGCCGTCAGCATGCGCATCATGACCCGCGTTGGCCAGCCCGTCCTCGACGTGCTCGGCGCCAACGGCGAGTTTGTCCCCTGCGTCCACTCGATCGGTGCCCCGCTTGAGGCTGGCGCCAAGGACGTCCCGTGGCCGTGCAACACCAAGGAGCGCGCCATTGTCCACTTCCCCGAGACCCGCGAGATCTGGTCGTTCGGCTCTGGCTATGGTGGCAACTCGCTCCTCGGCAAGAAGTGCTTCGCTCTGCGCATTGCATCCGTCATTGCCCGCGACGAGGGCTGGCTCGCCGAACACATGCTCATTCTCGGCATCACCGACCCGAAGGGCAACAAGAAGTACATTGCTGCCGCCTTCCCCTCCGCCTGCGGCAAGACCAACCTTGCCATGCTTCAGCCGACCATCCCCGGATGGAAGGTTGAGTGCGTCGGCGACGACATTGCCTGGATGAAGATTGGCGCTGACGGCACCCTCCGCGCCATCAACCCCGAAAACGGCTTCTTTGGCGTCGCCCCCGGCACCTCGATGAAGACCAACCCGAACGCCATGCGCTCGATCGAGAAGAACGCCTTCTTCACCAACGTTGCCAAGACCGCCGACGGCGACGTCTGGTGGGAAGAGCTCTCCAAGGAGCCCCCGACCGGCACCCTGACCTCGTGGCTCGGCAAGCCATGGACTGCCGCCAGCGCCAAGACCGACGGCCCGGCCGCCCACCCCAACTCGCGCTTCACCGCCCCGACCGTGCAGTGCCCCATTATCGACCCCAAGTGGAACGACCCCGAGGGTGTCCCGATCTCGGCTATTGTCTTTGGCGGCCGTCGCCCCAACCTCGTGCCGCTCGTCTATGAGGCCAACAACTGGCAACACGGCTCCTTCATTGGCTCGGCCGTCTCCTCGGAGAAGACCGCCGCTGCTGAGGGCGACCTTGGCGTCCTCCGCCACGACCCCTTCGCCATGCTGCCCTTCTGCGGCTACAACATGGGCGACTACTTTGGCCACTGGCTCAGCGTCGGTGCCAAGGCCAAGGATGCCTCCAAGCTTCCCAAATTCTTCCACGTTAACTGGTTCCGCCAAGAGAACGGCAAGTTCCTCTGGCCCGGCTTTGGCGAGAACTCGCGTGTTCTCAAGTGGATTTTCCAGCGCACCAACAACGAGAACGTTGCTCGCCAGACCCCCATCGGTCTCGTCCCCGCCGAGGGCGCCCTCGACACCACCGGCCTTGACGTCAAGCCCGAGGTCATGAAGAAGCTTCTCGAGGTCAACCCTGCTGGCTGGCTCAACGAGGTCGCTGCTCTGCGCAAGTACTATGCCACCTTTGGCGAGGCTCTTCCCAAGGGCATCAAGGCCGAGCTCGACGCCCTCGAGACGCGCCTCAAGGCTGCGTCCAAGTAAACGATAAAGCACAAAATGGCATGGGAACCGATTCACCCTGCTGAATGTCATTATCGCTTGTACGCACTTGTTTCTTCCGGAAACGTACAACGTTGAAAACACAAAAAGTATCTTAATTGAAATAAAAAAACAAGCAAAACAAACAAAACAAACGCACCCTCCACACAAGAATGATGAACAAAAACAAAAAACAACCCTCTCAAACTATCTCATTTCTCAATCCAATATTGTATTGAGTTCTCGAGTTTACAGCCAAGTGTACATTTGTTTTTTAACAAAAAACCCCCCTAAATCACTGCAGAACTACATGTATTACGATGTCGCCAATTCGCGACCCTCAGGTATTGGGACACTGCGTGACTTGAACACTCCGTCAAGGAAGACGCGAAGGCGAGCAACGGCGCCCTCGCAGCCATCAGGCATGCGGGCAGAGTAGTCGCTGGCCACAAACTGCAGCAGTTTTGCAAACTGCTTCTTGTACGTCTTGTGAAGGGAATGTCCAGCAACCTGCACAATGGTGGAGAGCAAGCAAACGCTGTAAGTCGTTGAAACTCGTTGACAACATCGGGCACCAACAGAACTTTCGAACAAGATCTTACAGACAAAAACGCCAGCAAAACGGACGGGGTCACTTTGCGTGGCCGCATGTTCAAAGTGCGAGCCACCCATCGCCAGCCCACATCGATGCCGACTGGATTTTTCATGCCGGGCAGCGAGTCGACCTGGACGATGGCGGCGTAAAACGTGACAATGCCAGTCATGCGCTCAATGTACTTGCCCTCATCTTCGTCGGACTTGTATCCGAGTGCCACTCGATAGTCTTCGTCGCTCATGTCAGCCAAGCGTGGTACAACGACCGGCACAGTCATGGGACACGCCACATGCATGGATGCCACGAGCAGTTCGTGTAGTTCGGGATGGCGAGACATGAGATACACGGCAAAAATGGCGTATGGGAAGG